TTTTATTAAAATATATATTTAGTTTCTTTAATTTACACTTGTTTATAAATTTTCTATACATAAAAAAATATGTTTTAATTTTTACATAAATATTTTGTTGTATTTTAATTTTTATTATTAATAATATTATAATGACATAGATAAAGAATGATCAAAATACTCATGCAAAAATTAAATTGCAAGTTTTTAAAATATAAAATTAATTTATAAACGTGTAAAGTATTTTAGCTGAAAAAGAATATTAAAAGAAAAAGGTAAATGAATGGAATAGAAAGAAGGAGAAGAAAAACAAAGCTTTGTTTGTTGCTTTCGCATGTTCTATGATATGCCTTATCCAACTTTTTATCTCGTCTGCGTCATGCTCATGATTCTGGTCATATCCATCATGAAAACAACCAGTGAAATGACTTAGCTCTAAAGGAATCTGCATTTACTTTTTCTCATCTAATTAGTTTATTATTATTCAATAAAACAAAGGCAGAACTGAACAAGAAAAATTGAAAGAACAATACCACAAAACAGTGGTCCATTACAGCAAGAGTAGAACTAAGACTGTAAAATTTTCAATTTCTGCAAACACAGTTTCTAAACGGTCATATATATAACAATTATATTATTCTTACATAGTTTTTTTTATAACACTTTTTAAAAGAAATTGCATTATTTGTTTTATCTTATATTCTTTATTTTTTTTCTTTTTATATCGCTTTTTCATGTATAATTTCTTTTACGTTAAAATAAAGTTCTTGGGTGGCTGGTGATTATCCAATTAAGTGTCTAGCAAGAAGACAGAACTTCTTCCACCACATTGCATCAGTCATGTCATCGTAAGCTTTACGCCTCCATTTTTTCCACAGCAATCTTATTCTTACTCTTCAATTTCTATACTTTCCTTTTCCTTTTCTGCTTAAGTCCCCACGGAAAAGAGAGAATCAATAAAAAGAACATGAAAATTTCCACACCCTTTTACTAGTAAGTGCAAGAGGAACATGTAGAAAACCAGTGCCAGGGATGGTAAAAAATAATTAGAAGCCCTCAATATATATGTTTTTAATACTCCTTAACTTAGTTTAGCAGGATCTTTAGAAAAATTATCTACTATTTTTTAATTCTCCCCTTCTCTAGTGGACTTCTCATTCTCCCAACAAGTATAAAAAAATTCCATTGCAATTAACTATTTCAACAATCCTATCTTTATTGTTATAGATTAAATCATGTGTAAGTACTTCAAACTCAACATGTCACAGAATACTTGGCTCATAACATAATATTAGAGTCCATATAATTATGTAGACAAGAATTTTGAATTTTTTTATTAAATTTTTAAAAGATTATAAAAATTATATTTTAAAAAATTTATGAAAAGTAAAAGATATATTTTATTCATTTGTAATTATAAAAACCATTTTTTATTTTTAAAATTGTATTCGTTTTACATTTTCTTTTTTAAAAACCACTCTACACATTTTCATAAACTAACAAAAACTCTTTTTTCTTTTCATATTCTTAATTTTTCAAAATTTAAATAAAAATACTATTTTAAAATTTTTTATTGTTTTTATGAATAAAAAACAGGCTCTTAATCCTTGCCACCACTAAAAAACAAATTTACAACACTTTGTGTTAATAACTAATTTACAACATTACGAATCACCTATTTGAAAACATACATGAGCCATTAAATAAATAATCATCAATTGGATGCGAGTTCATACATTGTACGGACTAATAAATGAATTTGATTTGAACATGAAAATAAATGATCGCAAAATTAATTCACAACATGACTTGCCTATAATTAGAAGAAGACAATTTTTTTCTATAACCTTTTTGTAACAGTTTTGTTAAACTATTAAAAATTAATATTGTATGTAACTTTATATATAATTTTTCCCTATTTTTTTATATGTACATATCTCAAAAATATTTTTTTAAGAAATTAAAAGACAACTAAAGTTATCTCTTTCGAGATGCATAAACATTATTTCTCTTTTCGCAATGCCTTATTTTTGTTCTCAAACGTTTGAACAAGATACTATTTTTTATTTGTGTATCATGAGGATGAACTTCATCCACTCCCAAAGTCTTCCTTATTTTTTATTAACTCGTAAATAGAAATAAAAGCACAAGAAAAATGCACACTCTATTTACCTGTAAAAAATCAACCATTATCCTCCAAAACTTCCTTGGGTTCAAGATTTAAATTAGAGAAGACCCAATTACCAGCATCTTATAAGAACTAGCTTTCTACCACTAATTAGCCATAATTTCAAACTCTTGCTCTTCAATTTTAGTTAATGGACTGTCCAAGACAAAACTAAAAATCAATAGGTTTTATGGGTCAATGTATAAGCCGAGACTTTCTTCAAAGATTCCATTTGTCAGCATCCCATGTAGACTTTGTTTTTCCATCAATGTACACAGTTCCTATTGATCTGCCCCCACACTTTGCTCCAGTTTAAAGAAATAATGATTGCAAAGCAATAATATTCAATAAAGCACTTCTAGTCGAGAGAAGGAAAAAAAAATATTATGACTTTTTATATATAATTAAGCAAATTTTTTTATTTAAAACAAAATTATTTTGTGTAATTTATATAATTTTTACTTAAGTTAAAAAATTATTTAAACAAAACACACTGCAAACTGTAGTTTGCACCAAAACTACTGTATTATCAGCCAAATATATAATAACAAACCAACTATTGTCATCCTATGACTTTTTGTCCTGCAATATTAATGCATGGATTCCCACCCTCAAATTAATTCATAGAAGACTGAGATTGGAGAAAAAAATGTATTCATTATCCTTCTTCAATCGTCACCATTGCTAGCTACATCCCACCGATGAATCCAAATATATAGTGTAACAAGTTAATCATACAAGTTATTGCAAATGTAATCTTTTGTCACCGTTACATCATAATAGAAAAAGAAATTAAAGACCCCAAGAATTGATGATAAATATGTTCTTACGTGGAATACTTTTTTATTAAGGGTGTGTTTAGTTTTTTTATTAAATCCACTCAAACATGAATAAATTTTAATGCTACAAATTATAATTTTCATATTGAAACATAACTTAATGTAATTTTATTAAATTTATAAACATGCACTAAATAATGGTGGCCATGTATATGTAACTACATCTCATCCATACTTTACTATAAATAGAATTTACATCCTAGTATCCTATAACAAATTTTATTATATGGTCTTCTTTTACTAATTCATAACAAGAAATAATAGAAAAATAAACATGGATCAATTTATAGGCTACTTTCACTTGGTAATCCAAGGATCAGTTGGTAATTTTTGTTAGATAAAATTAAACTGTATCAATAACAGAAAACCCAACACTTAACTGGAATTATGTTCGGCAGAAAAACTAAACGATAAACTTAATTTTTTGAAAAATGAAATGAAAAAGTTGTGATATTTAAAAGGATCGAATGAAAAATAAAAAATAATTAGCCAAATATATTTTTTAAAATGTGAAGTTAAATAAAAAAGTGATATTTACTTAAATTAAAAATATATAAAAGCCAAAATTAAAAGTTGAAATATTTTGAAGACCCTAATACACATTATACCCTTTAATAAAATCACATATGAGATATGTGAATGTAATTGCATGCATAGAATTTCATTATTTTTTATAAGGAAATGAAAATTGAAAATTTCATGTATATCAATTATATGTAAGAAAAAAGAAACTCTCCCTTATGGCTTTCGGGGATGTCGTGTACGTACTACTTTGGAATCGAATAAAATTTGTAGATAAATTTGTTCAAGTGTTTGTAGTATTTTGTTAAAATAAATAAATAAATAAATATATATATATATAATCATTTAAAAAATTCACATTAAAATTTATTACAAACTTAATTTTAAGGAAAAGAATAAATATAAATCACATAATCACTTTCAGCTCGTCATTTTAAAATAAAATTAATTCTATAATATTAAATTTATTCAAATTTAAAATTACAAATGCTTCTCAAGCACACATTTAAACAATGTGAATACTTATTTAATATCTCTTAATTCACTTATATATATATATATATATATATATATATATATATATATATATATATATATATATATATATATATATTCTCCATTTATTTCTCTCTAGATATAGACACCCCTTAAAATGTGTACCAACTATTTTCATCTACTATACAGTAATTGATATGAGAGCAAGTGACTCGAAGACCCAAGTTTTGCATTGAATTGCTGGGCAGTGAATACGTGGAAAAAAGTTTCCATAATTTGTTGCATGTTTTCTCTTTTCCTTTTCGTTTTGTTTAATTCTTTCCCCATTACCAAAAAAGGAATCAACAGGCTCGTTAAATGCATGCTGCCTATTTGAAAATGGGTTTTGAATCTCCCTATTCTTGTTGAGCAAAAATTCCTCTCTTTTCAGTGTTCAAGGAAGCATGATTTGAATTGGTAGCAAAATTGAAGAAGGGAATCATAATGAGAGAGTGCATAATAGGGAAGAGGGATGCATGCTGTTCTTTTTAGAGGAATCAGTCATTTCTTAACATAGAGGAAAAGAAAGTATGAAGCAACAAAATTTTGCATGTCATTATCAAAGCCTTCAAAAGGCGTGGGTGGAAGAGATGGCCATTGATAGCTACATGTGTATCATTCATGAACTTGATAATCATAGCTCATCACTAGCAACGTGGGGTTATTAGAGTTACCAAAGTGGTTAAACAGTGCATGTATTAGAACTTTTGATAAGAAAGTTGAGGGGTATATTAAAAGGAAACAATTTTTACATGAGAATGATAAAAGTAAATATGAATCATAAATGCATAATCAAATTTTTTTTTTGAAGTCACATAATTACTTTAAAAAAAATTATGACTTTTTATATATTTTGATTTTCTCATGACATTATTTAAAGATTAATATTTATTCTCCTCGATCTTAAATAAAAAAAATGAGTATATATATATATATATATATATAACTGCAAGAGAGGTATGTGACATGGTCTCTTACTCAACATTTGCGTTTGTGGGGCTAAAAACAACCAAAAGATCTTTAATTTCTCCTCTGACCAGACTCTGCCACGCCTTGCAGAAGCATCCACAAGCTTTTTTAATAGGCCAAGGTACCTTTTCCGCCCTTCACTGTGTCCATCAATTCTTTGTTGCAAACCTTTTGAGCCATGTGATATCCTCCTACCTCAGAAACCAAGAGTTCAATGTTTTTTAGTAGTTTGTACTTTTACCCTCTTCCTAGTACAACCGGTTCAAGTTGAAAATAATTTTTCTGCATATTAGTTCTACTTCAAATTTTGAGTTCCCACGTAGAAGATATCATCATTAGTTATCACCAATCTACTGATTTACTTTGTCCTTTTACTCTCTATAGAATAGCAGGTAGATAACATTACTATAGGTCACATAAAGAAGCATCTGAGTAATTAAACTTTTGTTTGTATATATTCATATGGCTTTGTGAGTGGGTAAAAGGAATCTGAGAGATTGTAATGGCAGGTGTTGGTTTTTGGGGACCAGTATCAGTGGCAGAATTGTCACATTTCAAAGGCTGTAGACAGCTATTGATCTTTGATGTGGTAGAGTTGTTTTAGCTTAATCTATGATTTTGAGTTCTTTTTTGAGGAAAGGCATTTGTATTAAATATTTAAAGGGAGAATTTTATTAAGTATAGTAATTTTATTTGGTTAAAACAAGATTATCTTTTGCTAAGAAAACCTGGAGTCTAGAAAAAATAAAAAAGGCTGTGGACACTGCAGCAGATGAAAGGATACAAGCAACTATAGTAAAGAGCAATAGCAAACAAAGTATGGTGTGTTTGCCCAAAGAAAACCTATGAGAAAACAAACCCTCATAAGAAAAAGTAGAGAGCCACAAAGAAGAGGAAAAAAAAAGAGAGATAATTATTAAAAAAGAAAAAACTGGATTTCAGTGGGAATCAGCATCAACCATTATGCCATATAAAAAGAGCACATGAATCACAAAATCAACACTTTCCTAGCGCATACACTCATTATCAATATCCTCATTCACTATCCCAAAACCAACCTCAATATGCAAAAGCCATAACAAGTCCTCACCAAATAGAACCACCCACTTTGAACCAAACCATAAAACACCAAAAGCATAATAGAGGAGGAACAATTACAAAGGGTATGAGGAGCAGCGGAGGAGAGATTGTTCAAGTAGAAGGAGGGCACATTATTAAGTCCACAGGTAGAAAAGATCGCCACAGCAAGGTTTACACTTCCAAAGGGCCACGTGATAGAAGAGTTAGGCTTTCAGCACACACAGCCATCGAGTTCTATGATGTTCAAGATCGTCTTGGCTATGACAGACCCAGCAAGGCCGTGGATTGGCTCATCAAAAAGGCAAAACCTTCCATTGACAAGCTTGCTGAGCTTCCTCCTTTTCATCCAAGTACTAATGAGGAAGACCAAAATAATGCTGCAGGCTCAAGTACCATCATGACCATTGCACAAGAACAACAACAACATTCAGAGTCTTGTGGTTACAACTTTCAGCTCCAAAGGCAATTAGGTGCATTCATTTCACCCCAAGTTGACACTGACCCTATTGCTTTGTTTCCCACAACCTCTACTACCTCCTCCATCAATTTTCAAAACAACAACCCTACACAAAACCTTGGCCTATCTCTCCATTGTTTCCAAGACCACCCTGGTCTCATTCATTGGCAGTCACAACAAGATGGTGCAAATCAAACACCTCCTTCAAATGAACACCAAATTCAAACCCTTTTTGGCTCAACCCCTATTGGGTTCGAGAATGAAAACCAATACCACAGAATTGTGACTTTGAACAATGAAGCAGCAGCAGCAGCAGCAACAACTACAACAACAACCACTGATCATGTTAACAGATTGGGGTTCATGCTCAACTCACAGCCATTTCTAGGCCATGGTTCTGCTTCAGTATATTCTCAAAGTGGGACCCTTCAGTCCAATTTCTCATTTCCAATGACTTCCTCTGAGCATCACAGGTCCCCACCAATTCACCAAGCTTCCATCTTTGGTAGCAGATTTGTGTCTGACGGATTAGCTGGGTTCTGCATTCCAGATAGAATTCAAGGTGTTGAAGAGAATCATGAAATTGCTTCCAATGGGCCTTCTTCTTCTTCTCCTAGTTCTATCCATTGAGCCCACAAGAAGAACTGAGCAATGTTGAAGCTTTCCTATCATCAGGTATTCCACTTATTTTGCCATCTTTTAATTTTATGGAACAAATAATAATTAAGAAACATTAAGTATGGCATGTTATATACTTTAAAATTACCATTATATATATATATATATAGAATGCTTTTTAAGGAATTTGACATAATCATTGTTTTTATTTTTTATAAAAAAAATAATTTCTTAAAATCTATCTTTGACATGCATTAAAAAAATCAATAATAAAAATTACTTTTTGTTCAATTTCTCTCATGCATCTTATTATATGCAGGAGCATTCTCTACCAAATTTGGAACTAAGTGAAGATTCAATTGGGTACATTTTTCTGCAAAGTTTGCTTTTCCATTTGGCTTTCCTTTATTGGTTTTAATTTAAAAGTTAGTTCCCTTGATTCAACCTTGCTATATATATATATATATTTGTTTAATATATATTGATGTAGATGGCCTTGAGTTGAATTTCGTGGTCTGTTTTGTGAATTTTGAGATTTCCGAATAACATATTTCATCCTATATCTAGTGAAAATCAGAGTTTACATGTCTATTCTTGGAGAAACCCACTTCAAGAAAAACAGAATCTAATGTGATTTGGATTTATTCTCTCCTGTGATAGAAAGAGAACATGGCCTCCCTTTTTCCTTGCCCCTCAAGTACGACATTTAAAGGAACACTTTGGAAGTCAAACATTTCCTTAAACCATTTGGCAGTGACAGTGTATTTGTGTGTCAGCTTCAAGTTCACGCTACAGAACTGTCAATAAAAACTCTATTAATGTATGCAGATTGTTTTTTTTTTTTTTAATCTAATAAGGCTAATCCTTTCACATTTGATATGTTAATGAGTTTTTTTAATATATTTCACAGACATGTAATAAAAATTTATGTATTATAATTTTTATGAAAAATATTACAAGATTGAATATATTGATGATGTTAAATATTATATTTTTTAATTAAAATCTTATTTGTTGATTTTCTTATGTATCCTTGAATACATATTAAAAAACTTGGGTAATGAGCTTGAGTTTTCTTAAGCTTAATTCTGAGAGTTGGATTTAACCATTTTTATTAAAAACATTGTTAACAATTTCTAATAATCCTATGGAATAGTTTCAGCAGTTGCATGAGATTCTTCTTTATATGTTGCTCTATAATTGTACCTTCATACACGTGGTAGTTGAAGCAGCAGAGATAATGGTCATCATTGGTTATAAGTTACCCTACACATAATTATAGGCTTCAATGGCATTACAAATTACAATCAAACTATGTGACATTTAATTTAGAAGAAAAGTTGAACAATACTATGAGAGCTACCTATGCACTGCATATAGTGTGGTAATGTCGCTTTCCTTTAACACACACACAAAGTTAGGGATAGCATATAGAGCATAGGAATTTGAATTTGATCCCACCTTGCTAGAACTTTTTATTGTGCTGACTTGAAACTATTTATATCAAAACTTGAAAGGACATTGAAATTGTAATATAGGACGGTAGATATCCAACTTAATGCTGCTTCATTTGTCTAATTTAATTAGTATTAGTAGGCTAACGTTAGCATTTGGAAAATGTGATTCTGCAACTCTATCTGCTAGAGTACCATAATCACAAACTTGTCAACGTAGTTAGCAATAAAATCGCTTCCTAGTACAAGTTAAATGTAAGGGCTTGTTTGTGATTACCCAATTCTATAGAGAACAAAAAAGTACAAATATTTTTGCCAAAGGAGCTTCATGTATTATTGATTTATCGATATGATATTGGAAAACATAGTTTCAGGATCAATATTATTTAAATAATTCAATTTGTTTTAAATTAATTTCGTTGTGCCTCATTTTTTAATTTAAAGTTCATATGTTATATAAAACATTGTTTTAAGATATTAACACGATTTATTTTCCAACACATAATTAAATTAAAAATATAAAAATGTCTCATTCAAATCATTTAAATCGCTTTAAATTAGATTGATTAAGATTAAATTTAAAATTCCATTCAAACTTATTTAAACTAAACCGCAATATGATTTTCCAATTGAATCAGATAAATTTCTTACTAAAAGATTAATTCAAATCAAATTGCTAAAATTCCTATGAGATATTATATAATAAGTACGATGAATTTTTGCTCATTGAATCTTTTAATTTGTTTTTTATTAGATAAAATTAATTCGTTGATCATTTAGTTTTTCTCTATTTCAATTTTGTGTTCTAACTTACTACCATATAATAAGTTCATCATTTCTCTATTAATACCATGAACTATAAGTTTTCTTTTTTTAATAATAACGAGAGGTTTAAAACTCTTTGCACCAAATTTTTAATAAATTTTAGTTAATAATATAAACTATATTAGAAAAAAAGTGTTTCTAATATTTCTCATTGCACCAAATTTTTACCTCATAAAATTTAAACACAATTAAACGTGTTATTTTCAAAAACATCTAAAGCTATTTAAAATTTATTATAAGTCATCTTCCCACAAAATAATACTATTATTATTATTATTATTATTATTATTTAAAAGCCAATTTACACATTGTGAAAACATGTAAAATATATTATGATTTAGTTTATTTAGTACATCAAATGTTTTATAAATTATATAATATATATTTTATTCATTAACTAATTATTTATAGTAAATAAAATTTAATTTATTACAATTAAGTGCATAAAATAGATGTGTAATGAAATAAAGTTGATGCTAAATTATTAAAATATAAAAATAATAATTCAAAATTATATTAATATGCATTTAAATTTGATTATTTTAAAATTTTTATAAATAGTAATAATTAAAATTAAAAATACCTTAACGTATCTTCAACTTTAAAGTAATTTATAATACTTATTTGAAATAATAATTAAAAATAAAAATAAGAAATGAATTATTATATATTTATGAATTTATATGTTTGATTAATTTTTATTTAAATTTTATTAGTTTAAAATATCTTTATATACTAATTTTATTCTAAAAACCAATATTAGTATATATTTTTAGATATTAAATTTATAATGTTCTTTTATGTAGTAATATTTTTCCATATAAACTTTTATTTTTGCTGAACCATATAAACTTTAATAATATGGAAACTCTTGCACTTAATAAATGTAGTATTTTATTAGTTGTATCATTTAATTTAATTATATATTAGATTTAATAATAGCTTTTAATACCAAATGTTAAAACAATTCTATTGTAAAGTGTTTATGGGAAGACATTCTTGCACATATAAGTTGAAAGTATTTTGCTACTAAATCATAGATACATTATTAATTCTGATAACTAATCACTATCTAATCATGATGCATAATTACTAATTACTGACATGACAATATTTAATTACGCAAAACATTTAAGGCTCGTTTCTTAAATAATTACAAAAAACAAGTTAAAAAAGTTTTATTTTATTTATTACCAAGACCATACTCCATAAGAAAAATTCTAAATTCACTATAAACTACTAACACATTTTTCCTTTTTTTAACCTTGTCAACAACATTTAAGTACATCATCTGCAACGAGGCACGAAATTAAGAATTTATGGAGCAACTTAAGAAAACCCTAATTTTATCAAAAATTACTGACAGCCTTATATTTTTTGACATTATTAACATCATATTATTTAATATTTTTTTTAATATACCATCACAGATGAGGCATTCAAGAATATGGAGCAATTAATTAATAATAGAATAAAACTTATCTGCAAAACATATTAAATTTCTAATCTATATTAAATAATAGGAAAACAATTCATATACCTGTCTTTCTCTCTCTCTCTCTCTCTCTCTCTTTATATATATGCTTAAAGAAAATTAATAAATATGAAAAATAAAATGATAAAAAGAAGAAAATGATAAAACATACCTATAAATGGGTGATATATATATATATATATATATATATATATATATATATATATATATATAAATTAGAACAATTATATGATAACACCAAAATCACTCGTTATACTCTAGCTGAATCATTTCGTTAGTATTAATCATAAAGCCACAAAACAAGCCATGAAAGCAACAAAATAAGCTTGTTCTTCACCTTCAAACGCATAAGAAACCAATATCCAACACCTGAAACACACATCCTTGATTCTTTTCTGACTCTCTCTTATTTACATATACACAAAGCCATGCAAATCTTGGATAATAAAGACGACCATGAGGATCCATTTGCGAGTGAATCAAACAAAGAAGAGTACTTAAGGGAAAACATACTGTTAATATCCGCAGTTACCTTCGCATTGCTCTTGTTTTTGGTGTACTCCATTTACCTCTACTTCAAGTGCGCGTGTGCATTCCAACCGCGCCGCAGAGCCACAACCATTCACCAATTTCACGTAATTTCTGAACCCGACGCAGGCCTCGACCCTTCCCTCGTAGCACTTATTCCACGTGGAGTGCATTGATAGGTGATCGGTTGGGTTCACACGCCACGTGTCCCTTGTGTTGAGCCAGGGTGCAGCCTCGGCTAGAGCCGCAGAACCGTGAGGGTCATGTTGGGCTTGTGCTTGATGGTGCACATTTGGTTGCTGTTGGTGAGGCACCCAAAATGAAGGATCAGGTTCTTTCCACTGATTGGACCGAAGACAGTGTATTTTACCCTTTCGTTTAAGCAAAAAAAAAAAATTATGTAAAAGTGTAAAACTTTACTGAATCATTCAGTTGGCGCTAAAACGAAAGACAATCTCGTTCCCAAAATGAACGCTTCTAATTCACGTTTAGAAGGATTATTCTTAGTACGGAAAGATCTTCCACAAACCCCTCATAGCCATGATCATCATGTTCATCCAGATTTGGAGAGACTGTCTGTTCATAATATGTAGTAATTTTGAATACAAATTTTGTTCCAGATTGTCTTGAACCTTGTCCAATGTCCCCTCTAGGCCCAAATATTTGGCCCAGTGAAGCTAGCAGGTCAAATACTGCGTTGCCACAGCAAAGAAAATTGAAGAATTTAGGGCATGTTTAGAAAACAATTGATTTTGAAAAAATAAAAATTTTTATATTGTGAATATAATTTTTATATTGTTTATTACAAACATTATAACAATATTCATAATTGAACGACAATGTGAAAAATATTTAGTCATAATTTAAAGTATCTTTTAAGATTAATTTTCACGTTTCTTTATATTTCGTGTTTTATTTCCTTATTCATGATTTTACATAAAGGGTATTATTAGTATATATAAGAATCAGTGTTTTTATATTTATCTGATATCATGTAAGTTAGTATGAATTTCATAATATTCGATCCCCATAATTTGAATAACATGACTCCAAGAAAATCTTGAAGCATTGACTAAATTCAAACCTGTGCCTAGAAATCTTCTTGGAAAACAGATCACTCAGAACCAACAAGGAACATTCATTAATTCAGATTTGGGTTGCCAGTAACACAAAATTTGATCTATTCCTAAATTGTCTAATGTTGAACAAGGAAAGCGTTTCTTTTGCATTCCTTCATCAAATCAAGGGCTATATTTTCACTTCCTATCATCAGAAAACATAAACCGTGAGCATCAAATGACTGAAAACAGCAAATGGCCAAAACCACCACCTCCATGAAACTTTCATGCACCCACTGAAATCTTCACTGGGTCCCAATCCAACAGATGATGGGGGTGTTGATCCAGCAAAACTTCCATTGCTCACTGTCAAACTGTATCACCACAAACAGGTCTCAACTCTCAAGTCAAACCTTCATAATCAACAAAAACAACACTATCAACCCATTATTGAATACAACTTTTCTCATGATTTGCCATTTTTTTTTCAATAGTTAGATCATTTTTAAAAGATAATCACTTTACAAAATTAGTACTTTGCTTAAAATTACTACCAACAGTCTTTGACATGGACTAAAATTTAATAAAAATTACAAAAAAGAGTGAAATTTACTCCAAAATAATTTTTACTCATACTTCTATAATTTTCGGTCAAATGTAGTGTAGTGTTAGAAAGTATTTCCCCCCGTGAGCAGCATGGTATGATTATGTTATGTTAGAGAGAGAAAACACAACTGTAATTAGTGTAAACTACCACCAATAAAAGTATCCAAGGATTTGATGAAAATTGTATCTTTTCTTCTCTCTTTAATATGACCATGTCATATTACTTATATCAAAACGAGAGTATCCAAATTTGTATTCCTAGCACTAGCGTTTTTAGAAATTGGATTAACATCAACAATGTATTCTTACTTTTTTTAAATATCCAAATGTATCCCTAGTATTTTTTAAATCAACAATCTCCAAAAACAGAAATTCAAAATCCAAAAATAATAAATAAATAAATAAATAAAATTAAAATTTAATGTCAATTTACCCGGATGGGAACTTGCAATTATCATGACCTGAAAATAAACATCCGAAAAAAGAATGAGACTTTTTGCTTTATGAAACAAACCAATCTTAAAGACAGAAATTTTATCGATCCACATTGAAGCATTGAGAAAGAGAGAAAGGGATAATAGTAAATAACTCACTAGGGTTCAAGGAAGTGACGGCAGCGTTATGATCGAAGTTGCAGCTATCATCGGTCATGCCATGCTTAAGGAAATAGTCATTGAAAGCAAACGACGCCGTATTCTGCACACTGTTGGGGTCATAACAGGGTCCTCCACGCTGGATTGGGCCGCAATCGGCGCCGCCAGCCCCACACACCCAATCCAGAGCAGCTTGCAGTGACGCGTCCTCCGCGTTGTTCTTCGCCACGCACCACAGTTCTTGCTGCGGAACGCCGCCGCTAGAACCGCCGCAGATTGGCGAGAGGCCCAGAAGAAGAAAGACCCAAAAACCGAAGCTTTGTGTTGTGGGCATTTTGGGAGCGTGATTTGGGACTGAAGAAGAAGATGAAAGGGAAATGGGTTGGTTTGGGATTTAATTACGTTGAAGATGGTTGGGTTATTGGGATAGTGGAAATGTGACCGTTACTTGGGTGTTTCGGTAGCGAAATCGAAGAGAGAGAGAGAGAGAGAAAGAGAGCATTGAACAGAGTGAACGAACATGAAAGCAAGTGTTTGTAATTGTATCACTGACTGCCTCATCTGAACTTTGTTTGCTTCCCTTCTCTTTTCTACTACTTTTAACTTTTAATTCTTAAATATAATAAACTACTGTGTGGTGATACATTTGTTCAGGATATTCTTCTTTTTTTTTTTTTTTTACTATTTGTTTATTTCAAAATTTTGAAAAAAATATTGTATTGTTTAAATTTTGGATTAGAACTTTTTAAACTAATTAAAGAAAATACAAATGACACGATTTTTTTTTCATTATATGCACATCGTAATTATATAGATTATATTCAGTACTGTATTTTTTACACTTCAAACAAAACAAATAATATAATTAAAATATTGCTTTATAGTTAAGAATAGTTTTCAATATAAAAATGTTAGTGCGAGCAATTTTAATTTTAAAGAAATATTGATATAAACTATATGTTAAAATATCGTAGAAAGGCCACACAAAAATAAATTGGTGGCACAAGAAGTTATCAGTTATCAATGAGAGGTAACCCATTATTATGATTCTGAACACTTGTTTGAACAACAAATACACTCAATATTCCCAGTACAATGACATGTCGATTGGGGACAAAAACTTTGGATCATGATCCCAAGCTTCTTCCTATATTCTAATAACTGACATGACTCAAATATCCTAAAATTACAAGGGATGCATATAATGAGTCCTCCCACAAATATAACACTTTCTCCATTGGCAGGGAATACTCTTTTCCTATCCTCACATTGCTTATCAAAGACCAGGAGCAACAGTATGCAAAAGTAAGAGAGACCTTGTCAAGATTCAAGAATCAACCATCATTAATTTTTGGCATTTATTGGAGAATAACATAATATAGGGCATTTTTTTTAATTTTAGTAAAATTTTAATGAGAAACATTCTTAGGTAAAAAATATTTAAAAATAACTAGTATGAATATCATTAATGAGACATACTCCAAATGTTAATGCTCTCTCCATTTCCAACCCTCCAATATCTTCCCATTTCGAGTACCCAGGATGTTCCTTGAATGCTCTTCCATGTGTAGCTTGGGCAACAGTAACACACACCAGCCTTAAGAAAAGAGAACCGAGGTAAGTATCTAGCTTTATGCATTTTTTCTTCCTCACAATAAGTTATTAATCATTCTCTGAGAGTGATTGCACAACCCATATGCAACATAAAACGACTCTTAGTATATGTGCAAATGGCTTGAGCCACAGATTTTGTGAGCACTTCAACCTTTTAACTTCTTCTAAACTCTTTCTTGAACAAACTCAAAAACTCTTGTTTTTTTTACCTCCCTACTCAAGTTAGTAAAACTAGTACGAGATGTGTCTTTGAATTTTTTCTAATTAAATAATAGTTTTATTTCAATTGAAAATTATTATCATAAATTAAAAGAATAAAACTTTAATGTTAATTAACAAATAATACAAAAACATACTTTTAAAATAAACAATTTGTTAACCTCAATCTAAATTCAAACAACTAATAATAATATAGTTTTATTAAACGTTATTTATTTTATATTTATTACTTTTAAATATTTTTTCAACACTTCTAAACACTTAAATTTAACTTGGAATAGGGACGAGAGAAGAGGGAAATGGTGGGAGAAACAAAAGCACATGAAAAGACAAAATAAGCCAACCTCAGTATGGCAATTGATCCCAAGAAACAAGGACAAAATTGACATTCTAAAAATCCTTCTCATCAATAAAAGAGGCGAACCTTCCGTGATTGGTATGTTCTTTCACTCGCACCCTCTGAAAATCTCACTCTCTTTTCTCATCGCGCAATGACCGACCAAGTTCCCGAAATCCTTAACGAAACCCTAAACCCTAACATCAATGAACAATGTGAAGAACAACCACAACAACAACAACCACACATCGATCCCCAATCCCCCAAAACCCTATTGCTGTCCAATCCTCCAATCCAAAGCCTCCCCGATCCCGATCCTCATTCCCCAAACCCTAATCTAGACCAAGATACCCTCATGCAAGATTCCAATATCATCCACAACGTCGACGACAACGAACCTGACGCTCCCACCACCGTCATCGCCGCCGGAGCGCGCCGCGGCCCGAAGAGGAAGAAATTGGGAGCGAAGCGAACGGCCTTGGAGAAGAAGTCTCGCGAGAAGCTTCAGGTTCTTGTCGAAACCCTTAAACCCGTTCCATTTGTACCTGCCAAAGCTCTTGACTTTGAGAGCCACCAGAGCCTCTTGCAGCGCTTGGGGCTCTGGGATTTTGTTCGTCTTGAATTCGATACCGTGATTCGCGGTGATCTCATTGCGCAGCTCATTGCCAGTTACGTCCCTAATACGCGGTGTAGTTATGTCAATGGGGTTAGGATCTTTGTGAACCGCGCTGATCTTGGACGCGCTCTTAAGCTGCCGAAGAAAACCAGTGCTTCTGCCAGCGCTGCCATGGATGGCGCCGAGGTGGAATCTAGTGCTTTTGTTGAGGATTTGGTTTACAATTGGATGCTTTTGCATGATGATGCTTACATCATGGGGAGTGATGTGTTGGGGTGTTTGAATTTGATTAAGGAGGGGAATTTTGAGAAGGTTGATTGGGCAGGGTTGATTTGGAATATGGTGGAGAAGGAATTGAAGGCTCCGCAGCTGGAGAGCTGTTACTACGCATCGCATTTGCAGCTTTTGATCAAGACGCAGCACAAGGAGTTGTTTGAGGGGGAGGCGCAGATCGTGGGGCAGGCTGAGGTGAAGGATGAGGGAGAGGAGGAGGAGGAAGAGGAAGAGGAGGAGGTGGTGGTTGGGGACGAGGTGGATGCGAGCGGGGATGTGAATATGGGTGGGGTTGATGAAGGGCGGGCTTGTGAGTTGGCGGAGCGCAAAGTTGAATTGAATCTGATGTCAGATAGTGTTGAGAGAGTTGAAGTGGAAAAGGAGCAAGGTGGAGGAGAACAGTTGATGGATTTTGATCAGGCTAAGGAAGAGGAACCTGCGATGTGGCTTTTGGATCCAAAGAACAGTGTGGGGGAGCCCTTTTTGCGGCCTTGTCATGGTAGTGATGTGAAGGGTGTGGACTGTGAGGAAGTGAAAGAGGAAGAGGGAGAAGACGGGCAAGAACAAGAGGTGGAGGATGAGGAGGAGGATGCAGATGCAGACGAAGATGAGCATGAGGGTGGGTTCCATCTTTCACCCAAGTGTATTCCTTTGGAGGGGATGACTTCTGGAAATGGGAGTCTCATTCAAGCCATGGAAGCTGTGCAGATGCCTTTTACTACTGGGATTGATCTTCGCGATAACACAGTAGGAGATTTTCTCTCTTCTCGGGATGAGCCTCAAATGATTTCTGGATCATCACTTTTTGGTAATGGTCACAAGAGAGACATTGGCCTGGATAATCATAACTCTCATCCTTCTCTAAATGGCAGTAACAAGCGGCTGAGAAGTGACAGCCCGTGGAATTCTAAGCCAATGGACTTTGAAATGTGCATGGAACAGCTGGAACATTGGATGGGGAAAGCCAGAATGATGTATGCAACAAAAGATCAGGCTTGCGAAGAATCTACAATGAATCAGCAAGTCTTGCTTAATGAGCTACAGAAGCGAGATAATGTGATTGATCATTTGCATAAAACAAAGATGGAAGAGGCTCAGAAAAGACAGATGGAGGTCTATCGACTTGAGAAGGAACTTTTTATGATGCAAAGCCTTGTTGATGGCTACAGAAAAGCCTTGAAAGATACACAGAAGGCTTTTGCTGAATATAGAGCACGTTGTCCCCAAGCTGATGAACCACTTTACAAGGATGTTCCAGGCTCTGGCGGCCTTGTTTTGAGTGTGATGGAACTGGAAAAGGAACGTCAAAAGAAGGAAGAAGAGGAAAGGGCAAAATTGCGAGATTTTATGAGAAATTTTGAAGAGAAGTCTAGTGATTTTGAATCCACTTGGTTTAGTAAATTTGAAGGTCATATGAGTATCGTTGAATCCCTAGGTAAGAGGTTGCTGATTGTGGAGGGTCAAGTAAAACATTTAAATGAAGTGAATGCTAGACGCAAGGTTTCTGACCCTATTGAATGTGCTCCAACAAGTGAAGGAGAAACGGCTCAGTAAGGTTTTGCTTTTTCAGGAGCACTTGGTTAAAATCAGTGAACACTTAAGTTCAAGGTCGCAGGTTGTCTGTGTTTATAATGTACAGAGCTTTATTTTGAAACCGGGACCTTAAACGAAGTTAATTCTTACCTTGATTGTCCGAGATCAAGTCACCGATTATGGTAATTTACTGTGTTTTGCATGCTGTTCTTATTTAATGGAAAAATGTGCTGAGATAGAGATTCTAGCTTGAAGAATTCATTTGTGATCTTTTGCCTGATTAATTATTGGTTTGCTGGGTGGATTTAATTTGGTGCGCTGCATTGCACTGGCAGTTTTTTTGTGTAGGTTGTTACTTGTTAGTATAATCCTATATAGCCGCATGGGTGTCAATGCTACGTTGTTTTATTGTCTCGTGCCCAGCCCAACTAGAATCGTCCCTTTTAGGCTTTGTTTCCAAGCTTGAAAGGAGAATTAATAACGAAATTCTTGAATTTGGGAGAACTTAAAAACATCACAATGTGATGATTTTAGAGGGATTATTAAAACCTGTCCTCACATTTAAAAAAACTTTTGAACAATGGTTACCATGAAATAAGCATTTCCTATATAACTCTCAAACAAACTGTTAGTAGAGATTCAGGCTGCATGCTCTTTTTATTTTTATTTGTTTTAAGAAAATGTCAGCATAACACATAGGTATACAATCTTAGTTACTGGCCAATTTCCACCAGTTTTGTTTATTGAGTTTAAATATTTTAAAGATATACAGAAAACTGTAGAAGTTGGGTATGGTTGTTCGTTAGAAAAGTATTCTCTTCTAGGATTTTGACCACCACCATCAACTACTTTTCTTCAACAATAAGCGAAACCTGCTCTGTAGTCAAAGGGTCTGCAAATTTACAAAGTGTTAACGACAAACTAAAACTTAGACGACCCTTACCACTATTTTTTTTATTTATTATTTTTCCTTTTCTCTTATTCATAAGAGGGAAAATATCGAAACCCAAGTTTATCATCGTTTTTTCCATTTCCAAATATATGGTAAGGGAAATATAATATTTGAAACCAAGAATATTAGACATTAGCTCTATTAAGTCAGCCTGTCGGTGTGATGTATATCGCAGAGGGTATTTATTTCTTTCCTTTTGCAAAAATTCGCTTGGTGCTATTGCTGTTTACACTTATGTAAACTTGTAGGATCTTGTGAATTTCGACTTACAAAGTTCAGCTTGTACTCAACAAAAATAAACGCTGATAATTTGAGTTAATAAATTTACTGCTTTCCACCCGACGAATACATTTTCTGAGGACTGAGTTTTAAAAGGGAAAGGAAGAAAAAATAAATATTTTATCTATAAATTAAGAGTTATTTAATATTTATAAAAAAAATAATGTTCTAAATTTATATTAATTTATTATTATATTTAAAAAATATATAAAACATTTATTTAAAATGCAAAATATGTCCTTTCCTTTTTCGTCTTTCAACTTTCAACTCTGTGTGGGCTATACTTGTCTATTCCTTTGCTATTGAAGGCTCATACTGGGCCATTATTGTTTTTGCTTCAAAGAAGTTTTCGTTTGCTACTTAAATTTTGGTCAACAGAACAGAGCTTCTCGTTAAATCAGGCCTAGAAATGGAGCAGAGCCCAAAGGCTAACAAATAAACACACACATGATTCGAAAGCCACAAGTTGAATCAGTTGAACAAACACAATTCCTTTGCTCCTTACCACATTTGAACAAGGCAATTCCCACCATTGGGCATTTGTAATGGCCCGTGGGATGTGGGATCTCGTATGTTCTTCATGATTAAGCTTTTTGAGAGGAGGATATTTTAGAGAAAGAGGCCCCAACAGGTGATGACCAATAAAAAAACACAGAGAGAGAGATAGGAGGGTACATACTGACGTTATTTGTGACTCATTGATATTGGCCAAGTGGGGATATATTAAATCTGAGACAACTAGTTAAGTATTTGTTTATACATTAGTAACTTTTTAACCTCATAACTTTAGAAATCTTACTTAAAAGTTCAACAAAATATTAGAGCGATTATTATTTCAATAAAATATTAATTTGCGATTTATGGGTCTAATTGTGATCAAATCCCAAGTTGTGATTAGGAATGCTAGTGTGTGGATAGTAAGAACACTGGTGGTGAGGAAAATATTGAAAATGATAACGTCAAATTAACATTGATGATTGAGACAACAATTATAATAGTAGTAACGACATCAATGAAAGTGACAAGATAAAGGTAGTGACAGTGAAAATGATAATAAAATGTAATAGTTTATGATGATAATAATAATAACTATTGTAATAATACCGTGGTTATGGTGGTGACATGGTGCAGGTAAGGAAGAGACGGAGGTGGAGGTAATAATAAATAGAAATTAGAAGGGAAAAGGGGGGGGGGGGGGGGATTTTACCATTCTCTATCTTAACTGCATTCTTAAAACAAAGTTTTAATAACTGATTAGAATAAACAAAATATTTCTATTTCATTATTGATACATCAAATTATGATTTTAAATAGGATATTATATCTTTTTTTTAATCCTAATTATCAAACAGATTCTAAGAATACCAAAGTTATTAAATACTCTAGCACTTGTTCTCATACCTGCATCTTCGTACTTGCTTCGTATTCAAATTTTGATACTGATATCTATTATTCACGGCTTGTTAGTTGAAATATACTTTATATTAATTTCTTTTACAAACTAATAAAGCATAACTGTTATTATAAAATAAATGACATTTAAAAAAAATACACTCAAATAAATTTATTAAACCAAAGTCATAAATATCAAATTATAATATAATATATGTGCAAAATTATAATCAATTTATATATTTGAAAATTTAATTTTAGTTATATATATATATATATGTGCATTTAAATGAGTACACATAGTATAGTGATTATATCCGTACTCATACCTATCAAAATTTGTTATCCAAATTTGGACCTAAACCCATTAAACAAATATTTACTCTATCTATAATAAATACCCTTTTATGAGTATTCAACCGAATATAAGAGCCATTGTAATCCGTTCTAAGGATGTCAGTATCTAAAACAAATAATGTTAGTCAAGTTCTGTATGTCAACGAGGAATCAAGTTACTGTAAGATTAATAAAATATTTAGCATAACTCACTTTGTTCTTTAACCCTCAAATGAAATATAAAACCATCACTCCCCCGTTTGAAGGATTTGTTTAAAGGAAAGCATGATCGGTCCATAGCACATAAAAATTCGTGCAACAGTTAAAACATAACCATATACAAAGCGAACTGAGTTAACTGAATATTTACACTTCGATATTTTTTTTCTCCTCAAATTAATATGTCAAATAAAGATAATTACATCCACAAAAAGCATTAATACAAAGTACAACAAAACTCAGAAGAGCCAAGACTTCACTGACATACCTTCCTCATCCATCCAACAAAAGCCACTAGTCTTTGTTTTCCAACTTGAATTGAAAAACACCAACAAAAAAAATATTGAAAAAGAATAAAAGACAACAAATAATTAAAAAATAACTGAAAGAATCTCCGACAGATACCTCCCACACCCATCTAGTTAAAGCAGACACAACAGTGTTTTTTCTTCCACCCTCTCTTTGATGTCACTGATGCACATGTGTTTTCCTGGATTCCAATCATGCAACTTGAGTGGTCCCCCTTTATAAAAGTAAACACATCACGTGACTCCCTCAGTTTGATAGCAAAAGCCTACCCCCAATGTGGCCTCACCACCCCATTATGTGAACATGTTCATCAATTGCCTCATAAAATTAATTTCTCACCCTCTCACTACCCAACACTACCTCATGCCATTCATTACATTACAACTACAAGCAGTCACATAAGAAAATTTGTTTCCTTTTCCCATACCCATCTTCCAAAATTCTGCAATTTCTTTTGTAAAATTGAAAAGGATCACAGATCATGTATGGGTGTGTTTGGATTCACGTTTAAATGAACATGGATCCACGTTACTTAACATTATTAGCTATAGCATGTTTGTAAACTCACAAGTACAGTAGCTATTTAAGTTGATCATAGTCTAAAAAGGGTATGTGAGTGAGTCTTCAAACATTGATAAGCTGTTCCTTTTCTGAATGAGAGTCACATCGTGGTTTTGGTGATAGGGATGGAGATTGGGATGGTGACCCTGCTGCATTGTCCATCTTCTTTATGTTTTGTTGGTGATAAACTTGCCTTAGTCTCTCTATCTCTCTCTTCAATGCTTCTTGATGTGCTGCATATCATGTGTATATATATGATTACATTATTTGAAGCTATGTTAACAGTCTTAACTAATTGGAGAGATAGGGCACATGATCAGACACAGAGATCTAAATATGCGTGCATGCAAAAGCTTTTCACTAAAATCAATATGAGTCTGTCCGGTTTAATAATTGGTCTGTTTCCCCTTCTAAAGCAAATCCAATTATATATATAGCATGCAAACTTTGCACGAGAAAAAGCCAATAACAGTGCAATTTTGTTATTATCTTAGATCTAATTCGAGGAGTTTGCAAGCTTAGAGGGTGAAATTGAAAAGCATGGATTAGGCACATCAAATTGTTCTTTCTTTCTTTAATAAAAAATTGTTCTTTCTTTATATCTAATATTTCTGGTGAAATTGGATACTAAAAGCCTAAAACTTTAAATTAACTACTTAGCATGCATATATGCTATAATTAACTACAAAAATAATTAAGTTTTTTCATACTAAATGGTGTTGATTATTAACATATCAACTTCATAATATTCTCTTATAAATTATATTTATAAACAAATTATTTAGCACGTATAGATCATAGTCTCCAGAACTGACTACAGCAATATCTAAGCTTTTTTTTCATCAAGTGGGGTTAATTACATAAATTACATTACGCCATAATTAAATTTTTTAGATCCTTCTTAATTATGTCCCTTATAGTATTATTTTGTCGCTCTCTAACTTTAACAACTAAGCTTCATCAGTTACACTAGTCTCTGGAATTAATTGGGAGTGATAAAAGATTTCAGAATCCTATTAACTTGAAACCAGATTTGTTTTCCCTTAAAATTAGGTATGTGTTATAGTTTTGATTAATAATAATAATTTTAGAAAATGTACATATGACTAAAAGGTTCTTAGCCTTAATTTAAAGCCTTTAGCCTTTAATTGATACTTACTTAACCGTTTCAACATTAACAAAATCAATACATAACTAATTCAATTAGCTTCTTAAACAAGGACAATTTGTGTAGATAATGTAGTTTAATAAAAGATAATACGTAAAGCAATTACCATCTTTGAAGATCTTGTCTTGGGCCAGCGCGGCGATTCTTTGCTTCAGAGCACTGTTGTCAACATTCAGAAGCAACCGTTGATGATCCAAAAATGCAACCCGTGGAGACAATACTGAAACCTCGGCCTTCAATATTGATAAACAAAATAGGTTAATGAAATAAACAAGAAAAAAAAAAACATACTAATTATTACGAAACATCCAATTATAAGCATTGTATGAAACTTTTAGTCACCTAATTTCACACCTGTAATGAAGTCACACTTCGTTCAAGCTCCGATATGTATTGAAGCTTCCTCACTCTTGATCTTTGAGCCGATTGTCTATTTGCCAAAATTCTAATTATGCAAAATGAAAATCACAACAAGACAAATTAAGTGACAAAAGAATTACACGTTAATTAAAATCATGAAGAACATGTTCTCCACAAGTATAACTCAAAAAAAGTCACATCGTAAGTATTATTGAAAAATGAAGGCTAGAAACATGTATATACTCACATACATTATTTATTTATTTTAATGCTTTGACGAACACATTATCCAAATTCAATGTCATATGGACCAATGCAAGTTTACGAAGAAAAACATAGAGTTCGGCATGAATGTTTAATTACCTCTTAACCCTTTTGGGGTCAGTGATTCTGTCACTAGAACAAGTTGTTGTATTTGCATTACTATGATTATTATTATTCCTATCATCATTGTTGGGAGCTTGTGTAAGCTCTAGCTTGCATTGGCTTTCTTCATCGGATTCATTCTTCACTTGCTTCTTCTCTTCCGCCTCTTCCTTTTCCTTGTTGGCTTCTTTCTCATCGTTGATGCTATTATGATCGGACGGTGTAGAAGGGTTGGAAGAGGACAACGTGTGAGGTGGCATCATGGTATTCCCCGAAGCCTCGTCACTGAACATGGACAAGAATTGTTCATCATCGAACCTCTCGAATTCGTTGTCACCACTACCTTTGCAATGGTGATCAAGCATTGGTGCCTCCAAGAAGGTGATGGAGTCACTCACCGATCGCCGGTGGGCACCACGTCTCGCCGACGAGAAGTCGAGAAACTCATCAACCCATGAAGGGTTTTGGTTTGACACGTTTGTGTTTGTTACACTATTTGGTGACATGCTTTTGAGGGATGGCATCTTTTGGTGAGAAGAAGAAAATTCTGGCCAATTGGGTGTCATGTTTGGAATTTTTGGTGGCAATTGTGCCATTTTGAGTCTCTCTCTCTCACACACACTAACACGCTCACAAGAAGTTGAACGAAGACGAAGAAAAAGAAGAAGAGAGAACTATATATATAACCAACAAACACAAAACTTATTGGAAAATGCTATAATCTATATATTCTATGCATATATATATGTGTAATGTGTGTGTATATATATGCACCTCAAAGACTTTATAAAACTACACATGAGAGAAGAAATTGAAACAATGCATATCACCTAGACAAACCAGATGAACCCCACTAACCCAACCTTTTTATAAATACATATATCCAGAAACCACAGGGAATGTTAGAGGGAAGAAAGCCACAAGAACATAAATCACATAATGATCAACTGTTTAATTTTTTAAATTTTTTTTATAAGATGTGCATAATACTATAATTTTGTTTTGGGGGTTTAAAATCCCAATAAATCTCTGGGGTATCTGCATCTATGTGTTTGTGCAGTGGGGTCACATGGAAGAGAGAGAGATTGGACAGCTATGAACAGCTGGGAGGAGAAAGGTTGGGTCTCCTCAACTCAACGGCATTACTGGAAAGTCGCCAGTGGTTTAATTATAATAACTAGTGGGAATCAGCCACCACGTGCCCTTGTGACCGTCTCTTTAGTAGGGTGCCCTTATAATAATAGTCTCATCATTTTATACTTTACCTTTGTCATCTGCTTATTATGATATTATCCCCCTCTACTCTACACTAATTTTAACCATTAAGGTTTATGCCTTAAACAAGATTAACATGATTTTATCTTTTATCTTTTTTTTCTCATTATCATGTTCAGTTAACCCATCTAGAAGAATTGGTTTTGTTAACTAATTAAGTGCTTGTTTGAATCCATGATAAGAATACAATCCTTTCAACAAGAATTCTTTTACGTCAAAAGAGATTATTTCAACTGTGATTCCCGTACATTGAAAAGGTATAAACTCCGTTCCACGCTTAAACAAAAAGAGCCTAATTATTTGGTCAAAATTTTCTCTTGCAATAATTAGGCACGGTAAAATGATTGGAGATAGGGAAGTAAAAAGAGATTCAACCTCATAACTAACCAATTTAAATATGCTTGAAGTAGACATAATACGGTTAAATGATTAAAAGATGAAACAAAATTAGGTAACTGATTTGAATGAATGGTGTCGACGTTCTATGCAAACTTTTAAAGAAATGTCTCCAGGACAAAGGTATGATAACCCCACTTGAGGTTGAGGGGGTTAGTCATTGGTGAAAACATATTTGAGATAGCTAGGATCTTTGTTCAATGATAAAAAGTTCTATATTGGTGAAATAATAACAAATTAAATGCTATATAAACAAGAAAACCATGAGTATAAATTGTCTAAACTCATTGGATTTGAGAAAGAATGTTAAATGATAAAAAGTTTTGAATTTGCATGAAAGAATACGTAAAAAATAGTCATAAGTCTGAATCATCTAAAATATTTTAGATAAATAGATAATGTTCAAATTTAGGGTCAATCTCTCTTAACAGTAAATACATATTCAAAATTCTAATATGATGTCAAAATTTAATAAAAAAAAAATTTGAAGACAAAAAATAATAATAGTAAAAGACCCAAAATAAAAAAGGAAGTCAAGCTGAATAAAAAAAATAAAAGGACTAAAAAAATACATGTATAGATATCGAAACTTAAATTACAAACTCATATTTTAAAAGTTATAAGATCTTTTTATCATCTAACAATTTTATCTTAGTGAAAAACGAAGATCACGAGCTTACCGGAGTTATGCATGGGGTGTGATGAATTACACTATTAATCATTGAATTAATTAATGTTGACCTTTGTAATAAAATGGAAAAGAAAATTGTAGGTGCAGTAATAGAAATAAGTAGAAATTGTGTGGACTAGTGGAATTTGGGACATGAGCTGTGAAGATGAAAAAAGAGGGCTTCTTGTAATGGATCATTTTATGCGCCCATGTGAATTGTTTGCACGAACTATGCTTTCTTTGCTTTGTCCACAAACCATTCCCACATGTAGGGTATATGCTTCTTTCTCTGTGGACGTGCTTATCTACGTGCCTATATGTTTCTAGGTTCCTTCTTCCATGATCTTATCTTAAGTGCAACTCATGTTGTTTTTAATGGAGAAAGTACGTAGTTTGACAAAACTTCAAATCATGATTAAGAAGGTGCTTTGAATATATAAAATTGCCACCTTCTAAATCAAGGAAGTGCTTGCCAATAGAGCATCTTCGCGGATGGATTTCATATTAATCAATGGCATCCATGTGTGTGGGGTCTTGTCTTCTCCTTCGACCCCTTCTGTATCATATAAAATAATATCATTAGTGATGTGCCTTGCGAGTTGGCTGAATTGGTGAGATCAAACTCCATCCATATAAATATATAAAGCTTTTTTAGTTTCAGTTCCTAACATCATTGATATCATTATAACCCCTCGTGTAGGTAAACCCATGCCTACTTATTAATTATACCTTCTTCGTTGCAAAATATGTGTTTTGCTAGCTAATCAGTATAAGGATACTGTTCAAAAAGTTAATTAATGATTTTATTATTGTTAGGGAAATATTTGAGCACTGGAATTTAATCTAGATAGGGTGATTAGGATTGTCATTGTAATTTACAACATGTATGATAGTCGTGTACACAAACTTGTGTGAAGAGTGATATTTTGTATCGTTAAGGAATCTAAAATAGATGTGAGAAAGATAGCGACAAACAAAAAATGATATATATGATAAGAAAATAAAGAAAAATAAAAAGAGTAGATGATGTAAAAAAATTGAGGTGTAAAAATATTATTATTTTAAGAACCTATTTAAAAGACTTTATGAATAGTTTATAAAAAATTACTTATAACTCATGTAAGTTATTTTTAACTTATTTTAATAATTTTTTATATTATTTATTAAAATAAGTTATTTTTATCTTTTTTTTTTATTAATTTTATTTTGAAAAATAATTTATTAAATAACTGCTTAAATAAATAGGTATCCAGATACCACCAATAACACCTCTTAAGTGATAAATATATTTAACATATAAAACATATAGTTAGAAATAAATTATATCTTTAGATTAAAGATAAATTAAATGAGAGAGCTTAAAAAATAGAAAAACATAAGTAATTTATAATTTATAATTTATAAAAATGTTATTTATTTTTTATATTAATTTTTTTAAAAAAGATTACCTAAAGTGAGTCTTAGTATGATTAAATCTATTATTAATAGAAATAAACTAGTACGTATTTTAATATATTATACAAGTATTTTAATATAGATAAAATATAAAAAATATAAATTAAAAATTAAAAATATTTGACAGAAGATAAGTGTAGACAACAAATAAAATTGACATGATAATAAAAAATAAACTAAAATATAAAAAATGCATCTTATTAATGATTTCAAATGTCTCATTATGTCTATTATTAATTGAAAATTTAAGTGCTAACAACAGAACTTAAGGAAGGAAAACTCTGTTCTGAGGGGGAAAAAAAAGTAATTTAAAAAAGTATTAATTTAATTAGGCGAACACAAAATTATGTTGTTTGTATATGTATGGTTAAATCATGAATTAAAATTAATTAAATGGAAAATAAGGAATTGACGGAAATCACAGATGTTTGATATACAATTTTATTGTCGGTCTATTTTCGTCAACTCTCTTGTACTCTGCAGTAATTTTCTTTAATTTATATATATATGTTGCAATTACGATGGATCCTTGCAAAATGTTTGTCGTGCACCTAAAACTAAGGGTTCCTTTATTTATGTTTTTTTAAAAGCAATTTTTTATTAAAAAGGTTTTTAAATATAATGATTATTTACTATTTTTAAAAAATAATTTTATTATTTTTTAGAGGTTAAAAGTAGTTTTTTAATTAAAAAATAATAATATTAGATTTTTTATTTTATTTTGAACTTAGTCAAATGTGCTTAAGGGAGACATCTATATTAACGTGAGTTAGAAGAATCCAAACCATTTTAGATGAGAAGAAACCTTATCTACATTTTTTTTGGGCTTTTAAATAAGGTACTAATTAATAAGAAGTTCGATAGTCTTTATTATTAAATACTTACAATTTTTATGAATTTTATTTTATTTGTCCTTAAAAAAATCGAATTGTTGGGATCCATATAAATTAAAACTAGTAAGGGAATAAGCAATTCTTTTAATTAACATATTTTAGTCTTTTTTTAATTTAATATAACTATTCTTATTAGTTTGTGTGATTTAATTAAAAATGTCTCATAAAAAATTCAAAAGGAATGATTTGTAAGTGAAAAGCCAAAATAGTCTTTTCAACTAATGAAATTTATATTTGCTTCTAATTTATGGAACCTTTAAAATTTTAAGGTAAAACTAAAAATGCTAATATGTAGGTGCTTAAGAATAGATTAGATGATCGATGAAGCTTTTGGAAAAGCTAAGATGTATAAATTAATTACGCTAATTAAAGTAATTACTAGTCTAACCTGTCAATTACTACGCATCACGTGATGATAATTTAAATAATTTGGAGAAAAAAACATGTTAATATTCTACGTGCTATTTATCTATATGATTTATAATATATTAAAACTAAGACATGAGTTGTAATGTTTGCTCTAACTCTGTTAAATCAACATTTTTTGTTGTGGTGTCACTTCCTACTATTTCACTATCTTCTCATATTTTAGAACCTTCATACCACTTCCCATTCTTTAATTACAATTATATATGCTCTTAACTATCACAAATAAAATATTCATAGTTAATTGCATGAGCAGAAGTTTACAAACTCTTAATTATGATATGCAAAATCTAATTGCTACATAAACAAATGGTTTCTGCAAAATACAAAAGTTGTTTGCTATAGAGCAAGTGATGCTCTCCACCAATCCCGTAAACTATAGGCTCATAGACGTTCAAGACACATAAGACGCAAGCTACAACCACCATAAGAAGAATCTATTATTTATCACCCACCTAATTCCTCTGCTAAAAAGGTAATATCAATTATATTATTATGTTTGATATACTTGATGTTATATATTAATTTAATAAATATAAAAATATATTTCACCGTACAGTGTGTGGATCTAAATCTAGTTAATTAATTTAATTCCTAATACAGATTTTATTTTATTTTTTAAAGGTTTGGTAATTAATTTTAAGCTTATACTTTTTCAACTTCGCCTAACTTCGTCACTCATAATGATAAAAAAAAAAGACTCATTGGAGAAGATATTAACTATTAAAATAAGTAATTTTTTATTTTAAAAAATAATAAATAGTTATAACTAAAAGTGAATTTAGTGTAATATAAAGGAATATTCAAATCCTATAACGATTATCACTTAAAAAAGAAATTCTTCGACATATTTAACACCGATTCAAAGTTCTTAAATTGATTACAAGAACTCTCTAACGTTTCTTATGTATTATATGTAAGCTTTTTTGGGTTGTAAAAACTTAAGAATTCCACAACACGTCACTAAGGTCATGTAGAGAAAATGAAGTGTAAAAGTCTTGTCTTGTTAAAACTCTCACACACAAAAGACATGAACACAAGTAGATATTTATATAATTAAAACGCTTCTAAGTAGAAGTGTATGATGACTTCCAATGCGTAGAGAAAAAAAACATGAAATAAACAAACATAAGTATGTGTTGTGTTATGATATACATCAACTTATATTTTAGTTAGAGTATATAAGAAAACTATATTTTTGGTGCATTTTATAAATATTATTATTATTATTTTCTAAATCATTTTTTAAAAGAATTAGTGAATGCATATTAAAAAAATTTGGTATGTGTATCTAGTACAAATATATTTTTTATATAAAAATAAGAATACTCTTTTATATGAAAATGACAAAAAAATGTTATCTATTAAATTTTATAAGAATGGAAAATATTAAAATAGAATAATTATGTGAGCTTTTTTTTTTATTATATGACTTTATTAAGTGATTATATAATATCTAATAACTTTTTAATTTTAATAATTCATACAGATTTACATGAATGGTAAAAAATAAAAATTATTTTTTGATCACATAACTACTAAAAAAATATGATGTCTATTAATAAGATTTAATAATTTATATTTTATTTGCATTGTTTTCATTTATCATAAAAATAAAGTATTTTCACCATGAATAATTCTTTGTGTGTATATATATGGATTTGTGGTACCGTTCTCCATTTGCATTGAGAACTAGCCATGATGAAAACTACGACATTAACCTATGGTATGTTCAATCTTTTTATCTTGTACAATACATGGACAAGTATAAGTGCAAGTGAATGGCCTCCAAAACACAAGTATGATTCATCCAATCCAAAAGCCATGAGGGTGAGGTTTGAAACATGGCTGAAACGACATGGTCGAAATTACTTAGATAAAGAAGAATGGAAAGTTCGTTTTGGCATTTACCAAGCAAATGTTAAGTTTATAGAATTCGAAAACTCTCAAAAGAACTCCTACAATCTCACAGACAACAAATTTGCCGATCTTACAAATGAAGAGTTTAAAAGTACCTACCTGGGTTTTAAACCTAGGTTGCTTTCACATACAGGATTCAAGTATCATGAACATGGGGATCTTCCAGAAAGCAAGGATTGGAGGAAGGAAGGAGCCGTAACTGGCATCAAGGATCAAGGCGAATGTGGTAAAGTTTCTAGCAATACAAGTGCATGGTTTAGGGACTCCGAATTACATTTTGTTTTTCAATTCCATAGATTATGCAGTTAAGCTATATTACTAAACATATATTTATGTTTAAAATAAATTTTCATTTGGAACTTCAACATGGTCAATCTCCTAATTCAGCACTTTGATCATAGTATAGGGACGTGCCTCAATAGCTCAATTGTTTTAAAAAATACATCACATGTTTTTCTCTTTTTCTTTGAAAATTTCATACAACTTAAGGAACATTCTTACAATAACAATACTCAGTGAGGTGGCGGAGAGCATCTTTTAACTTTGTTTAAATTCTATATGGACTATAAATATGAGCAAACCAGGATAAATTTTTTGGGTTAAGTTTGGTTCAAACTCAATTTTAAAATAGTACCAAAGTTTATCGTAGATTAAAATTGAGTCATCCTTTATTATAAAAGAAAATAATCTGATCCTACGAATTTTTCTAATGCAATTAATTTAGTCTTGTAAATTTTCTAGTGCAATTTACTTATTCTATGACTTGTTTGATACAATATATATATTATATATATATATAATATCCACGATCCAAATGTTTACAGTAAAGCTAGTTTTTGGAATTGAGTTTGATATAAGTCCAAATTTAAGAAACTTTTTTGATGTTGTATGCAGGAAGTTGTTGGGCATTCTCAGCAGTGGCAGCTGTAGAAGGCATTAACAAAATAAAATTAGGGAAATTAGTATCTCTCTCTGAACAAGAACTAGTAGACTGTGATGTTGATAATGGAAATCAAGGTTGTGAAGGTGGCCTAATGGAGAAAGCGTTTACATTCATCAAAGAGAATGGTGGGCTAACCACAGCAAAAGACTACCCTTATAAAGGGGTTGATGGCACTTGTAACAGAGAAAAAACTAAACATCATGTTGTTAATATAAGTGGCTATGAAAATGTACCTGCCAATAATGAGTCTATGCTTAAAGCTGCAGCTGCAAATCAACCTGTTTCTGTGGGAATTGATGCTGGAAGTTATACATTTCAGCTTTATTCAGAAGGTGTTTTCTCTGGCGTTTGTGGAAAGCAACTCAATCATGGGGTAACCATAGTTGGGTATGGATCAGAAGAAAATGGTGATAAATATTGGATTGTGAAGAATTCATGGGGTGCTGACTGGGGCGAATTTGGTTATATTAGGATCAAACGTGACACTTTTGATAAAGCTGGTACTTGTGGCATTGCCATGGAAGCTAGCTACCCTGTTAAAAAGTAAGTAGTGTTTGGAACAAGGTAAAAAAATCTCTAAATTTAAATTCATCACAAAAGTTATGCCTAATAGCATTGAAATAAACGTGAATCTATGTATTTAAATACAGATCTATACATACTTGAACACAAAACTAAACATTTTATGAGTAATTATTGTAGAATGAAATTTGTTATTTAAACAAATTCATTTAATTAATAATTTCTTGAAAAATTCAAGTATGGCACTGAAGCCATTAGATTCAAAGACTAGAATTTTTTTTTTATAGATTATACATTAGGGACTAAAGGATAAATGTTAAGTTAGTGGTATTGCCCTAGTGAAAAGGGAAATAAAAAAGACGAGCTGTTTTAAATTTTATATGAACTCTATTTCCTTAAATTTGGGTGACGAGCATACTTTGATGTTTGATAAAGTGGATTCAGGTGAGTGGAACAAAAGTGAAGTCAATTACAAGGTTAACAACTACATAGAAATCAAGCCTTGATTACTCTGCAGAAGTAGACATAACATCTCCCACCAAATAATATCATATGATGCATTTATTGCACATAAAGTTACATTATTTGCCTCTAACATAAATCAAATTATTATTATTATTACAATTTCTTTAATATACGTCTCAAGAATAGACAATTAAAAATTAATAATTATATTTTAAAAAAATTATAACATTTAATATTATTAATTCATTAAATTTTATAACTTTTATTAAAATTTATTATATATAAATTTTTATTATACGTCTTAAACAAACATTAAAAAATAAATCATTATTACTGTTATGAAAATGTTAACCAGCAGTGTTAAGACATTGGTCAAGAAATTGAAACTAAAAAGTTTTCATAAAAAATATAATCAATACACTTTGCTGTGATTTTTAATAAAATCTCATCGTAATTTTTAATAAAAAAATTATTTATTCATTCTTTTATTTTGACCAAAGTCCTTAATATGACCCTTGTTATTATTATTGGTTTTCAACCAACAATCTGTTTTTACTCTCCTATTCCCTTTGCCACCGTACTAAATAACTAGCACCATTTGAATCAGGCTATGGAGGAAAATTAATTCAAGTGCCAAATACTATCCATTTTCGTTATATATACTCACTCTTGTTTTTTATGACTTCATATATCATATCACATTCCCAAGTATTTGGCAAATCCAAGATCTGACTGTCACATTCTCTGGCTCCAAGTGCAAGATTGAAAAGAATTATGACACCAAAATTCAGATGCCAAAGCCTTTGCAATATAGGCCCAGTATAGCATTAAGAACTGTACTTAGTTCACTCTTAATCATTTAACAGCTAAGATTTAAGCGCAATACTAAAAAAAACAAAACTTAGCTCAAAACACCATAGGTGCTTTTGATAGTGTTTTCTAATTAAGATTGGAATCTCATCATGATAATATGTGCTAAACTTTAATACCATATTTTATTGCGTGAATTACCAAAATAAAACTCTTGATTAAAGAACAACACAAAAAACATATTTAATACTACACCTAAAATTTGTCCTATTAAAAATCTAATCCAACTTTCACTCACTAATACTGAAAAAACTATTTTCAGCCAACACTGGGGGAATTAAACAATAATAATAGTTTAACTCCTGACAGTTTCTCAATTTGATCAATTTTCCATTGATGAGAAAATTTCACAATGTTTTCCTTATATGCAGGTAAACAATTGATCATGTTTAATCTTTATTTTTCATTTGATTAATAACGTTATGGTTACAAGCTAATTTCAATTTAATTGAACAAATGAGCAAGAAGAGCTAATTGATAACAATTATCCTCGTTGGACAAAATTTATATTATTGTGTCATGATTTGGTACACTTGCAAAATAAAACTGTTCAGTCACCACGTTATGACTGTCAAATCTAACAGCGTAAAACTGTTTCCAGCAAAACAGTAATCACAACAGCTTTCTATATTTCCCTATTTGAGTGTAGTGCTGCCAACAACATCACTAGTTTTCCTACACCATTTGCTTCATTAAGTACATGTTTGATTCTCTGTTGAATTTGCACGTTAACGCATAAGCTTCATTTATAGCATCCACTTAAACACGTTTTCTTGGTATCTAATACGGTTCCAAACAGACTAAATCCAGTGTCACTGAAAGTCCTCCTGAATCTGCATGCTGCACCATTAACAACGCTGTAACTCTCTAAATCAGGAATATATCATACTCTATCCATGCCCTTCAGAACTTCAACAATATTGTAATATTAAATCATCAATAATTAGCACTTGAGTTGTGGGAAAATGGAGAAAAGAAAGAAAAAGGAATTGAAATTTGACAGGACTCCAAGGAAATAAGAAAATTAGGAATTTTCTCATAGTCTCAAAAAAAACTTGGGAATTTTCTCATTGGTTCCGAAAAAGGTAACAGATGAAGAAGAAATCTATAGTGCAATGTTGATCCAATTCCCATTAGTGATAAATTAATATAGTATTGTAGCGCAAACATGATGAAACCTGCAGAAGTTTGTCAAAAAGATACTATATTGATCAATATGGACAAATGGCTAGAAAGTATATATATGGCTGGCATCCATGGAGACTGTACAATATATATATATATATATATATATCATGTTATGCTCTTCAACTTAATCCTAGTGCCTCAATGATACAGAGACAACCAATCAAATTGAAAAAAAAAATTTGGAAATAAAGGCTTTATATCTTGGAAGTTGTACACCCTGCAAGATATCGTTTTTTTGCATATCTTTCCAGCATGAAAACAAATTCAAAAAAGTGATAAATTCCATGATGACATGCTTTTCTTTTTTAATTTTTGCTTGTTCTCACTCTTTCTGTTTTTCCTTAAAAAACTAGGGAAAGTTCTCAACTTATGCATTGAGTCCTGATATCATTTAACTGGGAAGTACAGGAAACCAAAATCAGGGAAAACTAATGAAGGGAAAATGAAGAAAATATTTCAATATATTACCACAGTTTAGCGTTAGGTAAACAGCAATGTCTCTTTTGATTCAATTGTAACGCCTCTTTCTAGATCTGGTGTGCCATCGACAGCTCCAGAGAAATACCAGAAGAATAACTAGAACCACTTGTAGAGTAATTGCAAACTTCAAACCTGAACCAGAAAGTTTCAGGGTTTATTTAGCTAAAAGATTCTATATACATGAAAAAAATTATTGGATAACAAGTTACCAGTAAGGTTATAAATTGATTCCTCTGACTTTACTCCATTTTTGGTTTCTTTAGAATTGCAGTTGCTAATCATGTTCTCAGCATTCCCACCCATGACACATGTGTTGGGGCAACAAATGATTCCATCATATTCATCACTCCCATCACAACAATCTGCAGCAATGTTATATGAGAAGTGGAACACAAAGTTGAAGGCAGAAGAAGCCTAAACATCTTGATCCCCAGGGAAATTTTAACTTAATTGCCAATTTACTTATCTGAAAGCAGATCACTCATGCGAAATGTTCAGTTCCAACATAATTCAGGTAATAATGAATTTATATCTATAAAATCATTTAATCTGAAATAGGTAATGCAATTAAAACAGGTAAGACCAGTAAGAAACAATATACCAAAAGCCAATTAAAATTTTATTTATTTACATCTGGCAGTTGAATCCATTTACTGTGGAAAACATCAAGAATTTGTTGCAATTCACTGTTTAGACTATTTCATAGGAAGGCATGAAAGTTCCATTATTTTTAGAAAATAATGCCTTCAGGTAGTAACTGAAAAGATCTTTTGTCCATTCCTTTGACTTGGCAAAATGCCAAAGACAAGTGCAAAATGCTATAAAAACTCTATAGAAAGAGGAATACAAGGTATAAAAGCACAGAAGGAAATGCTTACCACAAAAATGATCATTAACATGAGAAGAAACTATAAACTGTGGCTTGCTTCCTAGGTTTCTGCAATAAAACTTTCCGGCGGAGCAAGCTGAAGTACCTGTGGTTAAAAATGCACAACAATATCCTAACAAGTTATAAATGGTATGAAAACCCACCTCATGATTTTGACACTGTACATGAAAAGGTAAGAAAATTATGACATTGAAAGCCAGAGAAACAACCAAATTATCATCATTTTGCATAAGATCAAAGAACAAAAGCTAATTATATTATAAAATAAGTTTGAAGGTAAAGAACTATTTTTCTTCTCAAATTTTGAAGGGTAAGATATGCTTTTAGTTCATATAATCAAATTTTGATCCTCATAAATTTTAAAAACTTTTAAAAATATTCCTTATTACCGCTTTAGAATGGTCGCCAAAGTGAAATGGTTAGATATATGCCACTCCATCACAAAATAAAATAGCTAAATATATGTCATGCATTACAAAATAAAATAACAAGGACCATTTAAAAAATCTTAATGATCAAAATTAACAGAAAAAACTAATGAACTACAACCAAATTTAGTCATATTCACAGGAATAAAAACATATTTAAGCCAATTTTCAATACTTTCAATAGAGAATAGTAACAGAACCATACAAAATTTATTATCTGCCATACCAGGTTCATCAGTACCATCAGGGCAGTCGCAGAAATTGTCATTGAGATGATCTCTGGAGAAGGATTTTGATCCATCCTTGCACTTGATCACCTGAGAGCTGTAATATTTCTCATCTGCACCACAAAATCCAATTCAGGATTCACCCAAATAAGAAAGGGTCTTCCTTTATTAAAAATCACATTTCGGGTGTATTAAAAATTACACGAAAGATCATTAACAACATTTTTTAATAATATTTTTTTTTTTATAATATAGGAAGGTGTTTGAAGCAAAAGGGGTAGATGGAGAGGTAGGTACCTAAAGGGTGAACGCCACGGAGAGAAGGGTGTGAGAGACAACATGCGACAGAAGCGATGAGAAGAAAACATGCGGAGTGGAAACATAGGAAGCATTGCGGCTCCATGTTCATGTGAATCTGTTCTCTCCGCCAGAGAAGCCAATCCAGTTTTCGAGACTCACATTTTGTTGACTTGACTTCGACTTCAACTCTCCAAAGCAATTTATTTCTTACGATTAATAATTAGTAATAAATTAACAAGTTGCTACTCACTTTTAAAGCTTTAATACAAAAATTATTTTTTAATGAAATTTTTTTTTTAAATCTTTAAATTCAGTCCTTACTCCTTGAAGCTGAAGTTAATGAATCTCGTTATTTAAAAAAGAAAAAAAAAATTATATGCTAGGGTTAATTTATTAATCATTATTCTAAGGTGAGGGTAATAATTAAAGAAATCATATTTATTTTATGTTCATATTTTTTATATATATTATATGTATGAGTTTAGATATGATTTTGATTTAAATAATCAAATTTTGAATTTAGCTTTAACTTATTTTAAAAGTGTAACGCGGATTATCAGTGTCTCGTTGTAAAAAACTTTGATGAACTAGTTATGTTATTGATTTATGTAAAAAGTAATTAATTTTAAAGTCAATGATAGTATATGCTAATTAACAATAAATTTAATTATTAAAATGTCAATATTAATCATTAAAAAAATGAGAATTGAGATACTTCTGGTTTTGGGCGTATTTGGCCTAACTTAAACATTTGACCCAGTATTACTAATTACATGGCCTTTCAGTTGGGTTTAAGTACAAATTATTTTAATTTTCAATTCTTTATTGATAATTTGTTGTAAAAAAAAATGTTCTATAATTATCCGTGAAAAAATATTTTTATTTTATTTCATATTTTTAATTTTATATTTTAGTATTTAATAATCAAATAAATTAAAAACTGAGAATTATTTATTATATTTTAAGATGGCAAGAGAAGGTAGAAAATATCTTGCGATAAGATATTATTAACTCCCAAGTAATTACAAGCTCAACCAATGTACTGAAAAAAGGAAGAAATTTGAATAATTTTAATTAATAATAGCTACCTATAAGGATTTGATAGAATCTTCCACTTTATTTATTTTTTTAAGTTCCTTTCTCAATTTTGAAATTTCAAATCTAAATGTAAAACATCCTTTGAACAACATCATCCATAGCAAATGTATAGTATATAAGAATGCATTGTTGTCACCCCATATCCTCTCTTCCACGTCTTCTTGTTCATTGATTGAATTGATCACCTAAAAACACGAAAAAGAAAAACAGTTAAATTTTTTGTGAATTAAAAATTATGAAATCCTTAAAGAGGAAAAATTCCTAGTTAAGATGTTGTTTGTTATAAGGAATTCGCTCAGTTCTTTCCATTGTTTGTGAATTCAAATTTGAAAATTTTCAAACTTGAGATATTGAACTCGCTTTGTTTATATTTTTAAAAGAATTATTAAAAACATGTTTAAAAATTTAAAATAATTGTGCCAATTTTTACAAACAAAAGTATAAAAAAAGTTGAAGTACGTTTCGTTTGATATTTTTTGAGAAATAATAAAAAATTATTTAAAATATCGTATTAAATAAAGTGTCGCCATATTTTTTTAATATTTTTAAATATACTAATGATCTTATTAGCTAGATTTTTACTAAAATAATTAAATTTAGAAGTAGGATGATATACAAATTTTTTCTCCATTTTATCTTTACTTGCATACAAGTACTTTTTGTTTGTATTGTAACTATGATTTATATTTTTTATTATTAGTATGTACTTTATTGTTATTAATATTATTAAAATTTACATTATTATTATTTTTGTCATTTTTGTAATCTCCATTCATTAATATATTTATTTTAATTATTTTTATCACTTTATTCATTAATAATTCTATTTGTATCATTATTACCACTATCATTATTATAATTACAATTATCATCATTGTCTATCATCTTTCTAGTACGTCATTGTTACTATTCTTATTTTTATTCTTATTATTATTATTATTATTATCATTATTATTATAATATTATATTTTTCTCTTTTCTAATTTATTATCTTATTCATCATTCCCTTATTCTAACCACTAAAGGTGTCATTGACTAAAACTAATTACAAGAGTAAAACAAAAACTTAGAAACCACATAATAGAGCAGTGATAACAACCCATACCTCATAAAGGAAAAAGAGAATTATACTGATCAATCTATGGCAACAAAAATCATTGATACCTGCAATAAAGTATGGTTGAGAGTGCTGCTGAAACGGCATGACAACTTCCGGCCTTATGTTCTGAAACTCTTGTAAATAATTGGAACAATAAGTACTATAAATGTTAGAATCAATAATACCATTCTTATTCCCATGAAGATAATCCAAAGCATTGTCAACTTCTGCTTTGTGTTCCCCTTTGGTACCATTGCAAGCAATCAAATCTTGTACAGACTTTAATCCTAGAGGGGGCAATTGCAGCAAATGGTTTTGGCCTCTGAATCTCTTAAGTTCATCTAACACCTTTTTATACTCATTGTAAACTTTAGTGTATTCTCCATAAGGACCATGTATAGGATCCCTTTGCCTACAACATGCTTCCCAAATCAATGAATCCACAACTCTCCTTCTATCTTCCTCTTTAGCATTCTTTACCAACTTGGTTATGTTGCTAACACCAAAAACCCTGTGTACAGCATGAAACTCACGGTTTCTGTTTGATGGAAAATAAGGTGCCAATATACAATTTTCACTGCATTTCTTCCTTTGATGCTTGCATGCTGCACATGCTGGGTGCATCCCATTAGTATTTCTTTGCATCCTGTAAAGAGATTATAAGTAAATATGATATAAGCTAATCATATATTAGAACATTTTAATTTCAACATTCATAGTGATTTCATGTATGAAATATTCCCCTTTCTTACTCTTCCCTCTTTCATTACCCAATCTTTAAAAGTTAAAGAAAATATTTATGAAGAATAAAAGAAGCTTTTGAAAATTGCAATTATCTAAATTCCCGAAGCAATTTGCATATTTTCTTAAACTATATCAATATAATGTGTAACTCCCTTGTTTTGAGTTGTTAATTGTTATACATGAGGATGATTAATAACCAAGAATAATCTTAAGAAAAGTATGACAGTGCTTGCAATGGCATCACATGAGGGAGGTGCTCCATATATTTAAAGAGGATCTATATATACAAATGCTCTGATTATCCATCTCTTGTTTTTGAGAAGAAAAATACCAAGACAAAACAGAAAAATATAGTCGAATTAAATATATACCTTGATTGGACAATTGTTATTGTGTTCAAGCTAATGAAAAATCAATATCTATATAAGTAAGATATATCTCTGGTACAAAAAAATAGTAACTGTTTTGTTTAGGAAGAGCATGGAAAGATTAAGGTTCATGTCTCTTGGGAGTGATAATTATTTAAGGAGCCCAAAGGAAGAATAATTAAACTCTTTTGGACAAATTAAAAAAATGGAGTGAGATACTCAATTTACCTTAATGAAAAAAATAAAAAACAAAAGAAATAACAGCAACCACAAATTTGGCTTGTCATGTTTCCTCTTGGATTCTGTTCTCTTTTGTTTGGGATCATGTTCAAAATAAAACAAAAACTAACGAGCAATTTCTTAGTTTATCATTTTTTTAAAATTTAATTTTGATATATTTTGTGTATAAAAAATTTAGACTATTATTTAGTAACGTGTTATTGCGTTATTTAAAACATTTGATGCATCAAATTTACTACATAATTGAATGAAAGCATTATATTTGGACTTCAATTAATTATACACACACACATTTCATTCTTTTAACCAGATCTCATTTGTATATATATTATATGTTGTTGACTGATTAAACTTTTAGTAGTTGCACATGCAGCTTTGTGATGAAAGTCACGGAACCAATCATGTAAGCATGTTCTTGATGTGAAGCAAACTGGTAACTTTAACATTTTTTTATTGTATATTATTATGATCTTGTTTGTGAACAATTGTAAAGTAAAAATGTCATATATATATATATATATATATCGCATTTTTCAAAATAATTTTTGAGATAGATGGTGTTGGTCATCAGTATGCAAGCAAACAAGCAGATGTTCAAAAGAAAAATCTTCAAGTTTGTGATTCAAGTTAAAAATGATGTTTGGATAGGTCCAATTATTTGTTGTTTTCAGGGTTTTGAAGACAATACCAAGTTTTATTAAAAATAAAAAACAATTGGACCAATATCACTAATTTTTAATAATCCATTTTTTTTAAATAGTTTAAGTTTGGTTTTCATTTGGGCCACACTAATTGGATCTTGTGCACAGGCCTAGTGAGAGCCTGGATTGAGTGTCCATTTGAAGTACACCAAAATTTTACTTTGGTTTGAATGAAGTAAAAAGGTGACAAAGAACGAAAATTAAGCAATGCAATAACATTTTTTTTTCTCATATTTTGACAAAAAATTGATTCTTCATTATCAAAATTCATCCAGGATATTTATTTAAGAATTATAATATTTTTACAACAAATTTTTATAATACTTTTTACAATTCATTTTCTCTCTTTTATTTTATCACTAATTTCATTACATACTTTTATCTCTTCTCTCTGTCTCTCTAATTAGAAAAAAAAAACTTTTACAAACTTAATGTGTAATTATAATTTCTCTTTTCAAAATTGTAGCTTAACTCTTGCTTTTGAGTTCCGATCCCATGTTTCAGTATCACACATAATTCGGCTTTTTATAATGAAAGTGTGTAAAATTTGTGCACTAAAATTACAGAAAAGGAGAATTCAGTATAATGTGGTGCTTGTAAAATTTTAATGCAGTGTAACCAATTGATACTTTATGACATCACATAATGTATAAATTCCAGCTTTTCTTTTGCCATTGCTTAATTAAAACGGTTCTGATCCTCTTAATTATATCATTTATGGCATTAGATTTTGAGTTGCCAACTTAGCCAAGAAAAGTTCACTAAATACTCATTATGCACTATGATCTCCCTTGTATAATACTTAATAAATTAGCACAGTTCCAGCACCAAACGCATCCTTTGATGGTCTTATGCTTTGGCCTTCTCCTTAAAGAAACAGAAAGCCAAATGCAATAATGATAAAAATAAAAGGACACACTAAAGTTGGTGCTTAGGGGCTTGTATTATTAAATGCTTCTCTCCCCCTCCATTTCCATTCAAAATTCAAAATTACCCACTTACCCTTCGGTTTTAATTCCAAATTTTTAAGTGAAGGAAACATTAAGAGCTTGTAGTGATGGAAGGAAGAAAACGGTAGATTACACATTATTGAAAGATGAGCACAGCAAGATTCATTAAGTGTGTTACAGTTGGTGATGGAGCTGTGGGAAAGACTTGTATGCTCATCTCTTACACTAGCAACACATTTCCCACGGTATGATAAGGCATGATGATCATGTTTTGGTGTTTTGAACATGTAAATTTTGTTTGTGTTTTATCAACAAGAAATTCACTTGTTCTCCTTGTAAAATCTAGGATTATGTTCCTACAGTTTTTGACAATTTTAGTGCAAATGTGGTGGTTGATGGCAGCACAGTTAACCTGGGATTGTGGGACACTGCTGGTAAGCATCATAGATGATAAAACTTTTGGCTGCTATCTATGACACCTTCAAGCCAGCACTTGAAATGTGCATGGTAGTAAAAATTATTAAGACTTTTAGTAGCACGTTTGGTTCAGCTTAATTCTTAGAAAATAATCACTTATTTTTCAAGAGCTCTATTAGGAAGCTGAAAGAAATATGCAACTACTTTTAAAAAATAAGCTGAACCAAAAATGTACAAATTGTATATTTGTGAAATCTTACTCCTTAATTTTTCATCTAGATTATGTCATACTTTACTCATTTATTTTAGCTTCATGAATTCAGGACAGGAGGATTACAACAGGCTTAGGCCATTGAGCTATAGAGGAGCAGATGTGTTCTTGCTGGCCTTTTCTCTCATCAGCAAAGCCAGCTATGAAAATATATCAAAAAAGGTTCTTCTAATCATCAACATCTCTCTCTCTCTTAAGGCAAAAAGAATCTTTTTTGTTGTAACCAACGAATCTGAAACCTGGCCAATTGAATGCAGTGGATTTCTGAACTGAGACATTATGCCCCGAGTGTGCCAATTGTACTTGTGGGAACTAAACTTGGTATCATCTAAAACTATATAATTACTTAACAATTAGACATCAATTACTTAAGCTAGTAGTTTACCTGCATTGTTATTTTATTTTGGTTGACAAAGATTTGAGGGAAGACAAACAGTATTTGATCGATCATCCTGGTGCCACACCTATAACTACTGCTCAGGCAAGTCAATTCTAACCGACACATTTTCTTGTTGGGGGCATTGAGGCATAGGATTTTTTTGTTTCCATTTGGAATTCACCTAACTCACATCAAATGTTGGGCAGGGAGAAGAATTGAAGAAGGCAATTGGTGCTGCAGTGTACATAGAGTGTAGCTCAAAGACTCAGCAGGTTCATATTTTCTTTTTTTCTGTTTCTTTTTTTGTTCAGATGCATGTGGCCAAACCTGTTTTTAATGTGCTTAGCCACTGAAGATTATAGAAGAATATGTTCAAGTTACCAATCAAAACCAGGACATAAAAAATGTTATAGTTATGAACATTGTTTTAAAAAAATAATGACGATAATGATCATGTATTTAAAGTTAGATGCATAAATTTGAAAGAGCATTAGGCTTTAATAACTTAGAAATTTAATTGTTAATTTGGTAGGTTAATTAGGTAGATGCAAGAATACTTTTCTTATGTTTTTAATCTTTTCATAAATTTTAATAAGACAGTTGACTACGTATCTTTTCAATAGAAGTTTTGCAAACTCTGAGAAAATTGACACTGTATAAAAGAAAAAGAGCCATATGAAAGAGAAAGAAGGTGTTTTTAATGTAGATTAAAGAGTAAGGAGGGATGAAATGAAAGAACACAATGAACATTCGACATTGAGCTTCCTTTGCGAAAACGCTTCCATTACCCTGTAAGGTTATGTTAAATTTTGTCATTAAAACTTATCTAGGTTTGAAACTTTTGAATTCTTGTAAATAGCTTAGCTTAACAAAATTTTACTCGTTACATTTTTTCCCCATCATTTTGACCTTCCATGTCTTATATATAACTTTATTAAAATCAGGAATAATTTGTATTATTATTAAGAATGATATGGAGTACTATGTTATTACACAAATTAAAAAAAAGTGTGTAAAAATACAATTTGCCCAAAAATTATATATAATCCAAAGATTCAATTTTTTTAATTATGTGAGTCCAGTGGGTACAAAGTTTAAAAATCAGTGGTGCATTTGCCCAAATTAGGCACAGCTTCCCTTCTTCCCAGAATAGAATATTTTCTGAATTAGATTAATATTTGTCATTTTGCTGCAGATGCCAGAACACTTAAAAGTAAAATCATGATTTTCTTGAAAAATATGCAGTTATATAGAAATTATATTAGTAGTATAGATAAACCACTCTCACAAAATTCTTCATATTGGCGTCAAGTTATCAACTTACACACCAAAGTACAAACTTGGTAGTAAATTGGAATTGTAGCCTTAGCCTAATTTTATGTCTTTGCTTCAATGTTTCAGAATGTGAAGACCGTGTTTGATGCTGCAATCAAGGTTGTCTTGCAGCCACCTAAGCCAAAGAAAAAATCAAAGAAGAACAACAAAGCTTGCGTTTTCCTCTGATTCAAGCTATTGAATTGCAATTGCATATTTTATTTCATGAATTTTTTAGACCATATGTACTGCAAACTCTACTAAAAGTATGTTTAGTTCAGCTTAAATTTAGAAAAACCATCATTTATTTTTCAAAAGATCTCTCAACATATTAAAAATAAATAAATGACTATTTTATAAAAATAAGCTGAACTAAACATGCACCATTTTATTCTCCAATATATCTCTACTTGATGAAAGTAGACTCAATTCAAGATTATGATGTGAAAATTATAATATTAGTCACCACTTTGATGTTAAGGTATAAACTCCATGTCTTTCCATTATTCAGAAACTGTCCTACCAAATTTTGTTTGAAATTTCTATCAAAGACTCTGTTAATCATATGCTTCACCTGTTTCAAATCACTGCCTTCTTCTGATCTCAGCGGACATTGAATCAAAGTTAATTTTGAACCCACATAAAATTGCAATGGTAAACTATGAATGTCATAGATGCTGACCAAACCCAGTAGCTTATTATTGGTACTTATGAGTGATTAAATATAGCTGCAAAAGAGGTCATATTTGAATCTGAATTTGGGTTGCACGCAGAATTGTTCTGTCATTAATATTTTGATTTACTTTATGAGATGAAAAATTAAATATAAAAAATAATCGTGTGATGCAAGGATTTATGTAATTATTCAATATAGAATGATTATGGGTTAGTTAGTCACAAGTTTAGTTCACATAACCTTAATAAAGGAAGGCCTGATCCTGGAGAATCACACAACTACCTTAGCATCTCAATGAAGTAGTTAACCACTTTTTTTTTTTTTTTTTAAATAAACAACCATTGTTCATTAAGAATTGTGCATTGAAGATTAACAGATGTGGAGAGCTAAATAGACACAGTTACTTAATGATGCAACTATTTACAAAAAAACAAAATAAATTATGGGACTGAGTAGCAAAATTTAAAATTAAAAAGTTAATAATGTATAAACATGAAATAATTTGCGAGATTAATTTTATATATATATAACGAGTTTCATGATCGTAGTTGAGAGTTGCTTAAATATAAAAAAATGATGTATTACCGTAGAATTCACATAAAAATTATAAAATAAATTAAACAACTTGAAAGACTTTCACCATTAAAAATGATCTTACTAAGGATATTAAAGTATAAAGAAGTTAAAACTTCAAACTGGCGCTTGTAGCTCAGTGGATAGAGCGTCTGTTTCCTAAGCAGAAGGTCGTAGGTTCGACCCCTACCTGGCGCGCATTTTATAAAAACATTTGTTATAGTTAATAGCAGTTAAAATGCAAGTAAAATCTCCATTTGATTTTAGCAATAATATTTATTATACTTTTATAATTTTAATATAATATATGTAATCTTTTTATAAAAATATCTATTTATAGATATTTTAACTCAATCTAAAGACTAAATTTAATAAAATTCTTATTAAAAAGATAAATATAATAATTAATTGTTTAACTTCGTAATCATGATATCATATTTAAGTTTGCAGTTGTCATGAAATATCTCTCATTACAAGTTATTAGGCTAATTAAAGAGATGTTCATGAAGCTTATTTGGGGTTTTTAAGTCCCTTGTAGGCTTGTACATAAGAAAAATGCAATTAAAATAAAAAGAAAATGGTTTGTTTTTCTTATTATCAAGCAGAAACGACGTCGTCTTGCACTGATGACTACCTCGAAGTTCGCACTTGCTAAAACCCTGCGAGTGGGTATGGAAGCTAAACCCATGGTGCTACTTCTTCATCGATAATAGCTGAGACCGTGCTTCATGGCGGGTCCCATTCTTCTTCGGTCTCTCTGGTCCTCAACCAGAAAATCCTTCTCCTCCTCTTCTGCCCCTCTCACTCCCTACCGCTTCTTCTCACGCGCCTTCGCCGCAGCACCTGCCGCCGCCGCCGCCGCCGCCGCCTCACCCGGCGCCTCACTCGACCCTAGCCGTCTCCGCAACGTCGCCGTGATTGCCCATGTCGATCACGGCAAGACCACTCTCATGGACCGCCTCCTCCGCCAGTGCGGCGCCGACATCCCCCACGAGCGCGCCATGGACTCCATCACTCTCGAGCGCGAGCGTGGCATCACCATCGCTTCCAAGGTTCGTTCCCTAATCTCGCCCTCGAATCCAACGTTCCTCCACTTCGTTTTGAATTGAATCTGATCCTCGTGAATGTGAAAGAAGTAACGAACGAACGCGTGGTATTTTCAGGTTACGTCTGTTTCCTGGAAAGAGAATGAGCTGAACATGGTTGATACCCCTGGACATGCTGATTTTGGTGGCGAAGTACGGTTTTCCATCAAAATAATTCTCCCAATCAATTGAAACCGAATTGCATAGTCCAACATGTTTGATTGATTTTTTTTTAATAAAAAGTTTGTACGATGCTTATTGGTGGCCTTTAATTTTTGGTTTTCAGTGTGAAGTATTTTTAATAGTGTAAAGTATGTTCTGGTGGTAGATGCAAGTAGTGCCTTTCTCATTTTTGTGGTTGGTTAATGAACAGGTTGAACGTGTTGTTGGTATGGTTGAGGGGGCAATTTTGGTTGTTGATGCTGGTGAAGGTCCACTTGCGCAAACAAAATTTGTTCTTGCAAAAGCCTTGAAGTATGGGTTGCGGCCTATTCTTCTTTTAAACAAAGTAGACCGACCTTCAGGTAGTCATCCGCTGATTCGCTGCTGTTATATGTTATGTCCTGTTACATGAAATAGAATTTATGTTGATGAACCAGTATTTCTTACTTGTATCTATTGAGTACTTGTGAAGTTGTGAGCTAATCCTTGTAATTTGTAACTTTTTTGGTACAGTTACTGAGGAGACATGTGATGAAGTTGAGAGCCTGGTGTTTGATCTATTTGCCAACCTGGGTGCTACAGGTACAAAAATGGAAATATCTAATAATTATAATATTTATGCTTGATTGTTTTGTATAGTAAATTCCTTCCTCTGAAATTTTATTATTATTTTTTTTGTGTGTGTAGAGGAGCAACTAGACTTTCCAGTTCTTTATGCTTCTGCTAAAGAAGGATGGGCGTCCACGTCATTTACAAAGGACCCCCCTGCTGAGGCCAAAAATATGTCACAATTGCTTGATGCAGTTGTAACACATGTCCCACCACCAAATGCAAGCATTGATGCACCTTTCCAAATGCTGGTTGGTATTTGAAAATTTGATGAGTTTATTATTACATGTATCTTGTCTGATAGGTTTTCTCTTGGGGAAGTTGTCTTCTTGGTGCAGCGTTTCCTTTCTTTTGTTGCCAATGCCCTTTTCTCTTTTATCAATTGCAATAAATTGTAGGAGCCCTGACGTAAAGCTTTAGGAAACTCTGTTGCATTTTCTTTTTCTTCTATCCTCTTTGAATTAATTGTTTTTCCCTGTACTAGTTTTGGATGTACACTTGGGATCAGTGAAAAACATGATTTAATAGTGATTTTCAGGTTTCAATGATGGAACGAGATTTCTATCTTGGGCGAATTTTGACTGGACGCATATATTCTGGGGTTGTTCGTGTCGGTGACAGGGTTCATGGACTACGTAATAAAGATTCTGGTGCAGAAAAAATTGAAGATGGAAAGGTTTGTTGATCTATGGCCTTGTAAACACCAGTGCTGATGGATAGACTGTTGCCATAGTAAATGATAAGAGCTAAATTGTTTTGGTAATTTTTTAGCTCATGGATAAATTGTTAAATTATCCTTTAAGTCTTTTTTTTTTTCATTTCATCAGTGAATAGAAACATGGTCTTGGTATGTATTTTAAATGCCTATGTCTATCTAATTCCGTAATGAGGATATTTGACATCATGCTCTTAATAGTAGCAACAATATTTAAATGTTAGAGAAGAATGTTCTCATTTATTCTCAGTAGGGTGTCTTCTATTGCCACTGTATCATACTATGACTAGTTTTGAGTAAACTGCATATTAAGCAATTACCTTTACTTTTATGTGTCTAACATTTCCATCCTGGCATTATTGAGACTGAATTGTAACAGAGTAGCGGGGAAATCAACAGAAAAGTAGTCATTGGTGTCAACTTTACAGTTGCAGTGTCAATGTAAAGGCTAATGACTTTCATGTCTAGAAATCAATCATGTCCTTTATCAACTGTTTTTGGAATAGGAGCTGGGTGAATTTTAAACACCATGTAGTGCAGATGAATATTCTTTTTTTGTTCTTCTGTAGGTTATGTATCGTATGCTCTAGACAATGCTTAAAAATTATCTGTGTCGTTCATTTACAAAATCATTTTGTTATATTCAAAATGTAGTGGAAATGGTAATTAATTCCTGAAATATTAGTAATCTACAAATGGCTATATGAACTAAAATGTTGAAGTGTGGTAGTCTTTTATTAATTAGTAGTAGTATTTATGAGAATAAGATGTCTTGACCTTCTACAGGCAGCTCAAATTTTCTATGATTTTTCATTTTTTAGGTGGTGAAGTTGATGAAAAAGAAGGGTACGAACATGGCTCTAACTGATTGTGCTGGAGCTGGCGATATAATATCAGTTGCTGGCTTGGCAACTCCATCAATAGGCCATACAGTGGCAACAGTGGAGGTAATTAATTATTTTTCTAATATATAGGCGTCCTTACTCTTTATGGCCATTTAACTTGATGAGAATGGCCATGGGTTATTTGATGTGGCCTGTACAATATAAGCCAATAAATAGATAAATATAATATTGATGTAAATTGATTAGTTTTTTTATAAAATTTATTTATTCTTAATCTTTACGAAAAGGTACTCCTAGATAGCCTAACCTAGTTATATTATACAAATTTATATTTTTTATTATAAACTAGTACGTGACCTGTGCCATTGCATGGGTAAATTTACTTTGATTTGTAACTGGGTATTTACAAGAGTAAACAGCATATTAAGCAATTACCTCTTTATTTTTGGATAGTTTTTTTAAACCATAGACTAGTTTAATATTACCTAACAAAATATCCATTTTTTCACAGGTTGCAATGAATG